GTTTTTTTGCATATTTTCAAATATAACACACAAAAAAACGTAGATCAAAGTTTTTTTCACATTTTCAAATGTAAAAAAAAAAAAAGTCTACGTTTTTTACATACTTTCAAATGTTGAAAAAACGTAGATCTACATTTGGACAGTTTAACCCTTTCAGGGTCCTGAGGCCAAATTTCAAAGTGTACACCAGGGTCCAAAAAAAAAAAAAAAAAAAAAAAAAAAAAAAAAAAAAAAAAAAAAATCATATGAAATGGTAGAGAATCTTTTTCTGAAGGTAATAAAACAAAAAGTACAAAATTTGATGGAAAATTGACGAAATTATGCTCTTGGGAATTTTGATGTGTCAGCGATATTTACGAATTGGCGATTTTACCGGCTTTGACTCCCATTTTAGGCCAATTACATTATTCCAGTCAACCAAATTCTTAGCTATTTCACTAGTATGTGTTCCTTTTTATCTATTGAGCACAAGAAATCGCCAAGTCAACTGTTTCAACTACAAAATAAAGTGATCGGAAATTGGTAATTTGGCCAATTTAACACAAAGTTCAAAATATTCCAATTTCAAAATAGGGTCCAGAATAAACAATGTAGGTATTCCTGTCACTAAACTAACATTTCCTCTGTTCATTAGTTATGTTTTGAGGCTTTACAAATGAATTCCATTTTGATTTTTTATTCACATAATGAATTTTTATTCAAACCAAAAAATAGAAGATTTACTGTTATGCAATATTGTAATAATTGTATAAATATCATCACCACATTTGTGAATGTATACTAGACCCACCAGCTGGCGTGTGTTAGACGTGTGAGGTCGTTTGTTTACTCTTGAACATCAGCAAAAATTTAACATTTCTGCTACTTTGAGCTCAGTTTCAAGCCATTTCCAGTGCTAAAACCAATCAAAATCATCTCTGTTTCTGTAATATGTCTTCCATTCTATCAAATGAGACCAAGAAATCGCAAATACAACTATAAAATACATAAGAAAAACACTGCAAAGTCGCTATTTTAATCGAAAATCACAGTCTGTTTTTTTTCTCTCATTATACACTGTGTACTGCAGGATTTGTTTAATGTGGTGCACACATACCACATAGATATATTCTCTCATATCTAAGCCCAAATTTACCACTCACAGCTTATCAGAGTGAGCTGAGCTCATGGCGTAGATCTACGGTTTGGGCCCTGAACATAAAGCCGTAGATCTATGGCACAGACCCTGAAAGGGTTAAGGGTTAAAACAGCTACTTTGTGGTGTATTTTCATATGGTTTTTATGGTTGTAGTCTTGGTTTCTTGGTCTCATTTGATAAAATGGAAGATATATTACAGAAATAGTGATGATTTTGATTGATTTCAGGCCTGAGAGTAGCTTGAAATTGATCTCAAAGTAGTGGAAATGTTTGACTTTTGTCGATATTCCAGGGTTCAATACGTATCCAATGGGCCAGTCTTATACGTATTTAGGAATGCACTGACATTACAATAATGCAGTAGTCTGCATAACAGTATATGTTCTACTGTTTGTGTTAATAAAAATTTAAAATGTAAAGCAAGCATAATATAGGAGAGGCCAGAGGACATGACTACTGAACATAGGAAATGTTTTTATAGTGCCAGGAATGTCTACACTGCTTAGTCTGGACACTACTTTAAAATTGGCAATTTCTGAATTTTTTGTGAAATTGGCCAAATTGCTGATTTCTGATCACTTTATTGGGTACAGTAGACTGTTAAATTAAATTATGTTCTTGAAAACGCTGTTAGGTAAATCCGTGTTAGATACACTGAAGGTTACGTTCCTTGGACCCCCAAAAGCCAAACAACTTTTTTTAAGCTCTCCAGATCTTACAAAAATAAAAATGATTATGTAATTGCTGTTCATTATCATGATGTATTATGTTTTTCTATTGCTCAACCCTTTGAGGGTCCATCCCATAGTTCTACGGCTTTGAAGTCAGGGTCCAAGCCATAGTACGTACTACATCGTGAGTTCAGCTCACTCGGATAAGCTGTGAAAGGTAAATTTGAGCCTAGATATAAGAGAATGCATCTGTGTGGTAAGTGTGCACTATATAAAACAAATCCTGCAGCACACAGTGCATAATGAGAAAAAACTGCGACCATGTTTTTGGATTAAAACAGCAACTTTGCGGTGTATTTTCATATGGTTTTTACAGTTGTATTTGCAGTTTCTTGGAAGATACATTACAGAAATAGAGATGATTTTTTATTGGTTTTAGTACTGAAAATAGCTTGAAACTGAGCTCAAAGTAGCAGAAATGTTCAATTTTTTCCAATGTTCAAGAGTAAACAAATCACATCACACATCCAATACATGTCAGCTGGTGGGTCTAATGTATGTTCATGGATGCACTAATAGTATTTATACAATTATTACAATATTGCATAACAGTAAATCTTCTATTTTTTGGTGTGAATAAAAATTCTTATTATGAATAAAAAATCAAAATGAAATTCACCTGCAAAGCCTGGAAATGTAACTAATAAACAGAAGAAATGTTATTTAAGTGCCAAAAATGCCTGCATTGTTTATTCTGGACCCTATTTTCAAATTGGAATATTTTGAACTGTGTGAAATTGGCCAAATTACCAATTTCTGATTACTTTATTGGGTAGTTGAAATAGTTGACTGGGTGATTTCTTGTGCTCAATAGATAAAAAGGAACACATACTAGTGAAATGGCTAAGAATCTGGTCTAATGAAACAATGTAATTGGCTGAAATTAGGACTCAAAGTGGGTAAAATCGCCAATGCATAAATATTGCTGACACGGCAAAATTTGCAATAGCACAATTCCATCAATTTTTTATCAAATTTCATACTTTTTGTTTTATTACCTTTAGAAAAAGATTCTCTACCATTTCATAAGAAAAATAATATTTTTTTTTTTTTTAAATTCTTGGACCCTACAGGGAATTTTCAGACTGGAGATCTGGATCCCTCAAAGGGTTAAGGCTACAAATGCAACAGAAATTGTGGGTGCTAGTGTTTGTGGATGACTGTGAAGAGAGTGGAGAGTCACGCTTTGGCCCTACTGGGCTGAGATGGATGGCAGAGATTCTGGCACAAATTGATGGTTGTACAGAAGCATGCATCTATATTTATCAGGGTCCTCTTCAGTGAAAAAGTCTAACTTAAAGTCAGTAACTCAGACAAGTAGTCAGAAAGTCAAGTATATCTGGTCAGTCAAGTCAGTCCTGTCGCCCTTCTTTCTACTTGACTAATCTCGGACTAACCAGTGTTTTGACACACTTTAGTCACCCTGGGTATGGTGGCTACAACTTAAAGTATAAAACTCACCCCTGGGGCACACACACTGCCCAAAAAATAAGAAGAGACCCAAAGGTCCTACCAGCTTGAAGCCACCAAGGAGAGTGAGAGAGAGGGAGGGGCCTAGCTAAGCTCCTCCCACACCCACCAAAACAACAAAAGACTGTTGCCAAGCACAATTCTCTAGTTACCACAACTCTATCACACTTATTTTACTTTTACAAAAGAAATACAACTTTATAAACTACTTATTTAAATTGTGTGTGTGTGTGTGTGTGTGTGTCTATAGTATAACCTATTATATTGAGAAAAACAGGCTTGACTCACCTGCCTTACAGCCATAAGGGTGATCCGCCCTTATGACATTTAGTGCTGAGTCCCAATCAATTCAATATAATTAGGCATTCCAGAGTAACTGTTACTTATATACATCAATATGTGTTGGGTCCCATAGCCCCATAAAAATAAGTCAGTCCTGTCAATAAGTCAATTCAGACAGTCCAGTCAATTCAGTCAAGTCAGTAAGTCAGTCAACTGAGCAAGTCAAGTCAATTCAGTAAGTCAGTCAGTCAAGTCAGTTAGTAAGTCAACTCAGTTGGTCCAGTCAGTAAGTTAGTCAAGTCAATAAGTCTCAATCCAGTCAAGTAAGTCAGCCAGAAAGTCTCCAGTCAGTCAGTCAAATAAATCAGTCAATTCAGTCAAGTCAGTTTATTCACACAGCTGTGATCTACGTGTCATTCTTTTCAGATGACATCCTGGGTTATTTAATACACAAGCTTATATATTTACCTCATTCATTTTAATTGCATGAAATGACTCTTCATTAAGGCCAAAGGTTCTTGCTATATCTACCACATGTGAGCCACTCTTAAGTTTGTCTAATATCTCGATTTTCTTTGTGACTCTAAGACTTTAACGTTTAAACCTTTTCTTGCCACTTTCAGCAATCACTTGTATGCCTACTGGGAGCAATGATTGCTTGGCAGATATAAGATATAGCAATTAAAAGATCAAAATACAATTCATAAACACAGCTAGCTTCTAAGAGAGAATCACATGAAATGCATATGCATGGAAGACTGGGACAGGGGTGGCAGGGAAGGAAGGTAGGCCTCCCTCACAGAGACAATGGCCTGACCCAGAGCCAGGTGGCCTGAGAGCTAGGAAAATATCCCTGGAGCCCACGGGCGATGCTCCAAATTTTTTTCCCAGCCCAGAAATGGAACCATGTTAAGTCAATTTTACGACGTGTTTTATAAAAATATGCCACAATTTTTCAATACATAATGTAAAAACCATAATGTGGAACATAAACCTGTGTAATATAACAGTCTACTGTAGTTGAAACAGGTAAATGGGCATTTTCTTGTACTTAATCGATAGAACAAAAGGAATATTAGTGAAATAGCTATGAGTCTGGTCAACTGGAACAATGGAATTGGCCAAAAAAAAAAAAAAAAAAATGGTGCAAATAAGTTTTCCATCAAATCTCATACTTTTGGTTTCATTGCCTTTAGAAAAAGATTTTCTATCATTTCATAAGAAAAATATTTTTTTTTTTTAAATTTTGCGACCCTGAGAGCAAGTCTGAGAGCAGGGGGTGCGACCCTGAAAGGGTTAAATCAGCAATATGAAACATCACAATTGTTACACTTTACCAAAACGGAAAACTTATTTATAAGATTAAAAGTAATTCGTACCTCATTTGGTATATACAATACCCATCCAAGCTCTCCTGTGTGGGTAATATTCATTGCACGAATGCTATTGGCAAGCCCCACATCTATCTCCTTAAATGAAAAAAATGGGAAGGCTTTGGTTGACAGGTCAACATCCGTCAATTCTGACAAAACATTCCGTGCCAGTGGTCCTGTAAGAAATATCATTACTAACATCGATTGTTTAATGTCTAGACATGATGAAAACACCAAACTGATTATGTATTGCCATAGTACATATCATTTATAAAACATGAGTCATTTATACTAACTGATGCACCAATTTCTCCAATTTGTGATCATTTTTTTTTTAACACATTGGCCATCTCCCACCAAGGCAGGGTGACCAGAAAAAGAAGAAACAAAAGTTTTTCTTCTTTTTACATTTAGCATTTTAGTCACCTCTTACGACATGCATGGCTTACGGAGGAAGAAATCTTCACTTCCCCATGGAGATTTGTGATAATTGTATCATTAATTAAGTTGTCCTTGTAACTATCACTTTCTCACCGTACTGTATACAATTACATGACAAATACAATATGAGAAAACTGAAATGAATGCTTATAAGTGTACATACAGTATGTGTGAACATATTAGATACATTCGAAAAGTTTTCACATTTTTAACCACCTAGAGAACTTTTTAGACTTCTAGCCAATAAAATAAATCTGCAGTTTATGAGACATAGCATTGTGGTGTTTTATTGCAAAGCATTAACCTATCCATTCAACAGCATAATTTTTTTTTTTCAACAAGCTGGTTGTACCTAGGTAGTAGGCTGGTAGACAGCAACCACCCAGGGAGGTACTACCATCCTGCCAAGTGAGTGTAAAACGAAAGCCTGTAATTGTTTTACATGATGGTAGGATTGCAAAGGTTAGTGGATGAGTTTGAGAATGTGTGTAAAGGTAGAAAGTTGAAAGTGAACATAGAAAAGAGTAAGGTGATGAGGGTATCAAATGATTTAGATAAAGAAAAATTGGATATCAAATTGGGGAGGAGGAGTATGGAAGAAGTGAATGTTTTCAGATACTTAGGAGTTGACGTGTCGGCGGATGGATTTATGAAGGATGAGGTTAATCATAGAATTGATGAGGGAAAAAAGGTGAGTGGTGCGTTGAGGTATATGTGGAGTCAAAAAACGTTATCTATGGAGGCAAAGAAGGGAATGTATGAAAGTATAGTAGTACCAACACTCTTATATGGATGTGAAGCTTGGGTGGTAAATGCAGCAGCGAGGAGACGGTTGGAGGCAGTGGAGATGTCCTGTCTAAGGGCAATGTGTGGTGTAAATATTATGCAGAAAATTCGGAGTGTGGAAATTAGGAGAAGGTGTGGAGTTAATAAAAGCATTAGTCAGGGGCATAAGAGGGGTTGTTGAGGTGGTTTGGTCATTTAGAGAGAATGGATCAAAGTAGAATGACATGGAAAGCATATAAATCTATAGGGAAGGAAAGAGGTGTAGGGGTCGTCCTCGAAAGGGTTGGAAAGAGGGGGTAAAGGAGGTTTTGTGGGTGAGGGGCTTGGACTTCCAGCAAGCGTGCATGAGCGTGTTAGATAGGAGTGAATGGAGACGAATGATACTTGGGACCTGACGATCTGTTGGAGTGTGAGCAGGGTAATATTTAGTGAAGGGATTCAGGGAAACCGGTTATTTTCATATGGTCGGACTTGAGTCCTGGAAATGGGAAGTACAATGCCTGCACTTTAAAGGAGGGGTTTGGGATATTGGCAGTTTGGAGGGATATGTTGTGTATCTCTATACGTATATGCTTCTAAACTGTTGTATTCTGAGCACCTCTGCAAAAGCAGTGATAATGTGTGAGTGTGGTGAAAGTGTTGAATGATGATGAAAGTATTTTCTTTTTGGGGATTTTCTTTCTTTTTTTTTTGGGTCACCCTGCCTCGGTGGGAGACGGCCGACTTGTTGAAAAAAAAAAAAAAAAAAAAAAAAAAGGATTGCTGGTGTCCTTTTTTCTGTCTCATGAACATGCAAGATTTCAGGTACGTCTTGCTACTTCTACTTACACTTAGGTCACACTACACATACATGTACAAGCGTATATATACATACCCCTCTGGGTTTTCTTCTATTTTCTTTCTAGTTCTTGTTCTTGTTTATTTCCTCTTATCTCCATGGGAAAGTGGAACAGAATTCTTCCTCAGTGCCCCATGCATGTTGTAAGAGGCAACTAAAATGCCGGGAGCAAGGGGCTAGTAACCCCTTCTCCTGTATATATTACTAAATGTAAAAGGAGAAACTTTCGTTTTTCCTTTTGGGCCACCCCACCTCGGTGGGATATGGCCGATGTGTTGAAAGAAAGAAAGAAAGCTGGTTGTACCTCACTGAGGCAAGGTGACCCAAAAAGAAAAACATTTAGTAATTTATACAGGGGAGGGGGTTACAAGCCCCTTGCTCCCGGCATTTTAGTCGCCTCCTATGATATGCATGGTTTATGGAGGAAGAATTCTTTTCCAATTCCCTATGAAGAACAACATGCATATTTTAACCAATTTCACCATATATCTACTACTGATTTTAGGCCAAAAGAACCTGTCAGTGAATCCTCTTTATATGAGGAAGGATCTAGAAAGCTGAAGTTGTATGAAGAGTGTAGATATCAAGAATAACAGCCCTGGACCAGAACTTTTATATATTTAGTAAATGCTAAGATCATTTTTAACGGAATAAGTATGAAGTGTTAATATTTCAAATAAACTCTAAAGTTTTATGTGAGCCTATGTGATGATGGTCAACCTGCTGTGAATCAAAGACAATTTTTTTCAAGCCTACCACTGATGTAATACTACATGAAAGTTAGTCCTAATGACATCTGGAAGGAGCAACAGAGAACATAAGCTGATCTATCTACTCACCATCAGGGACATCATGCAACTAAGAATCTACAACACTTCATCTATAAGGAAGGATATTTGTGCAAGGAAAATGCAGTCACCATAATAAAGCCATGTCCTCAGGAATTATTATATGTTGTAGACATCAGCCAACTCAATGAGTGTTACAAAGACTTAAAGAGATATTTAATTCCAAGACATTTCAAAACTTAAATATTTTAATTAGCCACAATATTCACCAATACCCTGCCAGTATGGTACCACTCTATGTCCACCACAACTGCATTACTATTGCCATGCTTGTTCCCTCTCCATTTTTTCAGCTAAGGGAACAACATAAGTTTGCATAGAGCAAAAAGTAAGGCTGAGATTCATAGCCACTGTTATCAGCAGTGCCCCTAAAGACTGGACTGTTTGCAGAGATGCATCATCCTGGAAAAACATTATTATCCTTGTCATTTGTCTTTCAGGTATCTAGAGCTGATTTCTGATCAGTCAAGCTGTGGTGCTTGCATTTGATTGTGTGCTACTAGCACCAACAGCCTGATTGATCACATCAACCAGATTACCTGGTCTGGGCCAGGGCTGCTATGACAATTATCTCTGGAATAAACAACAAGCAGGTTGGCTGTGGTGTACAACTGAAACAAATTGATGGAGTACCATTCCTTATTATGATGGCCTATTTTTTCCAAGAAATATGCCATGATTATATAACCAGAACTTCAAAACATCTCCATGGGGAAGTGGAAAAGAATTCTTCCTTCATAAGCCATGAATGTCATAAGAAGTGACTAAAATGCCAGGAGAAAGGGGCTAGTAACCCCTTCTATATAAATTACTAAATTTAAAAAGAAAAACTTCAATTTTTCTTTAAATTTGGGTGACCTAAATTTAGGTCACCCTGCCTTGGTGGGATGCAGCCGGTGTGTGGAAAGAAGAAGAAACTTCAAAACATTGTGGCCATGACCTTTCTTGTGTTCTAGCAAATAAAAGCTGTTGTTTTCATAAGTTCACTGCATACATATTGAGGAGACACAACATACAAGTAAAATGAGCGGCATTTTTTTTTTTAGCAAGTCGGCTGTCTCCCACCGAGGCAGGGTGACCCAAAAAGAAAGGAAATCCCCAAAAAGAAAATACTTTCAACATCATTCAACTCTTTCACCTCACTCACACATAATCACTGTTTTTGCAGTGGTGCTCAAAACACAACAGCTTAGAAGCATATATCCCAAACCCCTCCTTTAGAGTGCAGGCATTGTACTTCCCATTTCCAGGACTCAAGTCCGGCTATATAAAAATAACCGGTTTCCCTGAATCCCTTCACTAAATATTACCCTGCTCACACTCCAACAGTTCGTCAGATCCCAAATACCATTCATCTCCATTCACTCCTATCGAACACGCTCATGCATGCCTGCTGGAAGTCCAAGCTCCTCACCCACAAAACCTCCCTTACCCCTTCCTTCCAACCTTTTCGAGGACGACCCCTACCCCGCCTTCCTTCCCCTACAGATTTAAATGCTCTCCATGTCATTCTACTTTGATCCATTCTCTCTAAATGACCAAACCACCTCAACAACCCCTCTTCAGCCCTCTGACTAATACTTTTATTAACTCCACACCTTCTCCTAATTTCCACACTCCGAATTTTCTGCATAATATTTACACCACACATTGCCCTTAGACAGGACATCTCCACTGCCTCCAAACACCTCCTCGCTGCTGCATTCACAACCAAAGCTTCACACCCATATAAGAGTGTTGGTACTACTATACTTTCATACATTCCCTTCTTTGCCTCCACAGATAACGTTTTTTGTCTCCACATATACCTCAATGCACCATTCACCTTTTTTCTCTCATCAATTCTATGATTAACCTCATCCTTCATAAATCCATCCGCCGACATGTCAACTCCCAAGTATCTGAAAACATTCACTTTTTCCATACTCCTCCTCCCCAATTTGATATCCAATTTTTATTTATCTAAATCATTTGATACCCTCATCACCTTACTATTTTCTATGTTCACTTTTAACTTTCTACCTTTACACACACTCCCAAACTCGTCCACTAACCTTTGCAATTTTTCTTTAGAATCTCCCATAAGCACGGTATCATCAGCAATAAGCAATTGTGTCAATTCCCATTTTGTATTTGATTCCCCATAATTTAATCCCACCCCTCTCCCGAACACCCTAGCATTTACTTCTTTTACAACCCCATCTATAAATATATTAAACAACCATGGTGACATTACACATCCCTGTCTAAGACCTACGTTTACTAGGAAGTAGGCTCTCTCTCTTCTACACACCCTAACCTGAGCCTCACTATCCTCATACAAACTCTTTACAGCATTTAGTAACTTACCACCTATTCCATATACAGTGGACCCTCAACCAGCGATGGCATCGATTAACGATAAATCTGACTAGCGATACATTTTAACGCAAAAATTTTGCCTCGACTAGCGCTTAAAAACCCGACCAGCGCTATTCATTCCGTACGAGACATGTCCACTTTGGCCTGAGCGCGCCTCACTTGTCCTGTGGGTGCCAGTGTTTACAAGCCAGCAGCCAGCCACCGCGGTCGCTTCCAAACATACAACTGGAACATTTCATATTATCACAGCCTTTGTAGTGATTGCACCTGCAAAATAAGTCACCATGGGCCCCAAGAAAACTTCTAGTGCCAACCCTACAGCAAATAGGGTGAGAATTACTATGGAGATTAAGAAAGAGATCATTGCTAAGTATGAAAGTGGAGTGCGTGTCTCTGAGCTGGTCAGGTTGTATAATAAACCCCAATCAACCATCACTACTATTGTGGGCAAGAAAACGGCAATCAAGGAAGCTGTTCTTGCCAAAGGTGCAACTATGTTTTCGAAACTGAGATCGCAAGCGGTAGAAGATGTTGAGAGACTCATACTGGTGTGGATAAACGAGAAACAGATAGCAGGAGATAGCATCTCTCAAGCGATCATATGTGAAAAGGCTAGGAAGTTGCATGATCATTTAATTAAAAAAATGCCAGCAACTAGTGATGTGAGTGAATTTAAGGCCAGCAAAGGGTTGGTTTGAGAGATTTAAGAACGTAGTGGCATTCATAGTGTGATAAGGCATGGTGAGGCTGCCAGTTTTGGACCACAAAGCGGCTGAAAAATATGTGCAGGAATTCAAGGAGTACATAGACAGTGAAGGACTGAAACCTGAACAAGTGTTTAATTGTGACAAAACAGGCCTGTTTTGGAAGAAAATGCCAAGCAGGATGTACATTACTCAGGAGGAAAAGGCACTCCAGGACATAAGCCTATGAAAGACAGGCTTACTCTGTTGATGTGTGCCAATGCTAGTGGTGATTGCAAAGTGAAGCCTTTATTGGTGTATCACTCTGAAACTCCCAGAGTGTTCAGGAAAAACAATGTCCTCAAGGCTAATTTGTGTGTGCTGTGGAGGGCAAACAGTAAGGCATGGGTCACTAGGGACTTTTCTATGACTGGTTACACCATGCATTTGCCCCCAATGTGAAAAATTACCTAATTGAAAAGAAATTAGACCTTAAGTAGCCTCCTGTATTAGACAATGCTCCTGGTCATCCTTCAGACTTGGCAAAACGACTTTCTGGGGACACGAGCTTCATTAAGGTGAAGTTTTTGCCTCCTAATACCACTCCTCTCCTACAGCCCATGGACCAGCAGGTCATTTCCAACTTCAAGAAACTGTACACAAAAGTTATGTTTGAAAGGTGCTTTGTAGTGACCTCAGAAACTCAACTGACTCTAAGAGAATTTTGGAAAGATCATTTTACCATCCTCAATTGTGTAAACATTATAGGTAAGGCTTGGGAGGAAGTGACTAAGAGGACCTTGAACTCTGCTTGGAAAAAACTGTGGCCAGAATGTGTAGACAAAAGGGATTTTGAAGGGCTTGAGGCTAACCCTGAGAATCCTATGCCAGTTGAGGAATCCATTGTGGCATTGGGGAAGTCCTTGGGTTGGAGTTAGTGGGGAGGATGTGGAAGAGCTGGTGGAGGAGGACAATGAAGAACTAACCACTGATGAGCTGCTAGATCATCTTGAACAGCAAGAGGGCAGACCTGAGGAAACTGCTTTGGAGGAGGGGATAGAGAAATTGAAGAAGTTGCCTACTTCTAAGATTAAGGAAATGTGTACAAAGTGGCTTGAAGTGCAAACCTTTTTAGATGAAAATCACCCTGACACAGCTACTGCAAGCTGTGTTGGCAACCTGTACACTGACAATGTTGTGAACCACTTTAGGAAAGTCATAAAGGAACGAGAGGTACAGGTATCTATGGACAGATATGTTGTGCGACAGAGGTCCAGTGACTCTGAAGCTGGTCCTAGTGGCATTAAAAGAACAAGGGAAGTAACCCCAGAAAAAGACTTGCTACCTCAAGTGCTAATGGAAGGGGATTCCCCTTCTAAACACTAAAAAGATCAAGGGTCTCCCCTCCTCCCATCCCATCAATCATCCCCAGATCTTCAATAAAGGTAAGTGTCATGTAACTGTGCATGTTTTCTTAAGTTTGTGTGTATTAAAATTAATATTTCATGTGCGTAAAATTTTTTTTTTTCAATACTTTGGGGTGTCTTGCACGGATTAATTTGATTTCTATTATTTCTTATGGGGAAAATTAACTTGACTAACGATTATTTCAATTAACGATGAGCTCTCAGGAACGGATTAATATCGCTGGTTGAGGGTCCACTGTACTTGCAACATCTGCCACTCTATCATATGCCTTTTCTAAATCCATAAATACAATAAAAACTTTCCTACCTTTATCTAAATACTGTTCACATATATGCTTCAATGTAAACACTTGATCTACACATCCCCTACCCACTCTAAAACCTCCTTGCTCATCTGCAATCCTACATTCTGTCTTACCTCCAATTCTTTCAATTATAACCCTACCGTACACTTTTCCTGGTATACTCAGTAAACTTATTCCTCTATAATTTTTACAATCTCTTTTGTCACCCTTTCCTTTATATAAAGGGACTATACATGCTCTCCAGCAAACCTTAGGTACCTTCCCCTCTTTCATACATTTATTAAACAAAAGTACCAACCACTCCAATACTATATCCCCCCCTGCTTTTAACATTTCTGTCATGATCCCTCAGTTCCAGCTGCTTTACCCCCTTTCATTCTACGTAATGCCTCACGCACCTCCCCCACACACACATCCTGTTCTTCTTCACTCCTAAAAGATGGTATACCTCCCTGGCCAGTGCATGAAATTACCGCCTCCCTTTCTTCGTCGACATTTAAAAGTTCCTCAAAATATTCTCGCCATCTACCCAAAACCTCCATCTCCCCATCTACTAACTCCCCTACTCTGTTTTTAGCTGACAAATCCATTTGTTCCCTAGGCTTTCTTAACTTGTTTAACTCACTCCAAAATTTTTTCTTATTTTCATTAAAATTTCTTGACAGTGCCTCTCCCACTCTATCATCTGCTCTCCTTTTGCACTCTTTCACCACTCTCTTCACCTTTCTTTTACTCTCCACATACTCTATTCTTCTTATAACACTTCTGCTTTGTGAAAACCTCTCATAAGCTAACTTTTTCTCTTTTATCACACCCTTTACTTCATCATTCCACCAATCACTCCTCTTTCCTCCTGCACCCACCCTCCTATAACCACAAACTTCTGCCCCACATTCTAATACTGCATTTTTAAAACTATTCCAACCCTCTTCAACCCCCCCCCCCCACTACTCATACTTGCACTAGTCCACCTTTCTGCCAATAGTTGCTTATATCTCACCCCAACTTCCTCCTCCCTTAGCTTATACACTTTCACCTCATGAGGGGCATATAAAGAAATATTACTAGTGCAAAGGTAGATATTTTCAGAGAAACTGAACTAGTTTACACAGAAAGTACCAGATCATACAGGTAGTGATGGCTATGTAGGCTTGTGGTCTGGGTAGCAATAGCCCAGACCACAGTCAACAGATAATCTGGCTTCAAGCTGGTGCAAGGGTAAAACTTGAAATCAGACAGTTATGAGAAGTGAACAACTAGAACAACTTTAGCTATGTTGGTGCAAAGAACAACAGTAATTATACAACATATTACCTGAAAAATTAAAAAAAAAAAAATCAGTTAGTATTTACTGCCAGCTTAAAGCACTTACAGAAGTGACCATGATGCTCAACATTAAATGCAGCACCAACAGAGAGAAAAAAAATTTAAAGCCTTAAGAAAATCCCTAGAAGTGACTATAGGTCAATGCAAACTGTTGTCTCAAGGCACTAAGTTAAATTTTTTTATTAATACTACCTGTACAGTATTTTGTCCCTTATTCTCTAAAATACTTTACCCATAATGCATATGGCAGTGAACATTGATGTCACATCACTCAAGACTACTGAACCATCAGCTGGGAGATTACGCTTCAACCATGTCCCACATCGGGTCTGCTGGATAGTGGGTGCTATCATCATGTAACTGTACAAATAATGATAATACGTTATTAACTATCATAAACTGTGAGGATTTTTCACAACAGAGTATATGGGGCATCGTGCAGCAGAAAAGATTAAGTGCCAAATTCAAATAATGAAGAAATACACAAGTGGGGGAAGATTGAAGCTATAAAGCTTAAGTTACCATGCAGTGCTATGGGGCTCTAAGCCTAACTTATAAATGCAGAATAGAATAGCTACATGTTCCCACAAACAGACAGAATATGAAGGAATCAATATGTTCACTAACCTGGATTTGATTGTGGTGGTGCTTATTCTTTTCTGCTGTGCAACACCTTGCTATTATTTTTAACACAACTGCTGTCTCCTGTCAAGTAAGGGTGACCCAAAGAAGAAAACACATTCACAGTCATCCAATCAGTCTTTCCATAAGTGTACTGACATCACAGTCAGATTACCCCCTCTAACTGCAACCTCCCTACCCCTTCAGAATGCAGGACCTGCCCTTCCCACCTCCAGATTTCAAATCCAGCTAACCGTTTTTTTTCCTGAATCCCTTTATAAAAGTCACCCTACTCACACTAGAACAGCACATCCATTAAAAACCACTAATCTCCATTTACTCAAACACACTCACACAAGCACATATTAAAATATAACATCTACACTTATAAGTCTCCACATTAAGTTATACAATAACTGACTACATTTACTTACTGATTAGGAGCAATACGTGCCAGAGAGCAGTCATTCTCATAACCTCCATATGAATTCTGCATGCCAGTGTGTATAATACCTCCAACAGGTATGTCAACATCATTACTACATAGGTATTGCAATGCTTGAACTACTTCACTTCCTTTCGACTGTAAAGAAATACAACTGTTAAACAGTAATGACTCACTAGTTGACAAAATATACTATATACATAGTTTTTTGAACTCAAAATATTAAGTAATAGCATTGAAGTTGCAGTACTGAAATAGTAAGTTAAATTGTTTAATTTATTTATATTACATCTGAGAAGAATGCAGTAGATGTAGACAGTAAATTATTTGCTAAAATGTAACTACAGAATTCATATTGGATAACTTTGAGGTAGTAGATTCACCACTTTGGTTACACATGGAAGAACCACCATGGAAACAAAGGGAATCACTGCCTATGTCCCACATATGGTATGTTTCTTTGTATGGTCTTCTCCAGTGGTTCCACCTTTCCAATGCTCATGTGGTTTGGTTGGTAGCATCCTCAACTCACACACTGAGGGGTCTGGGATTGATTCCCAGAACAGGTGAAATGTTGGGTATATTTCCTTACACCTGCTGCTTCTGTTCATTTAGCAGTCAGTAGGTACCTGGATGTTGCCAACTGTTGTGGGTTGCATTCTATGAGACAAGATTAAATCAGGCTGCATTAAATGCTCTGTAAAACCAGGGACTTTATATAAAGTTTGGCAATACGGTAATATCAATTATGTCTGTATCAGTTGTATCATGTACTTTGCAGAAATAAATATTACTACTGTTTTTCATATTCTTTGTCCTATAACTGTTTACTGTTTTCCTGCATCTTCTCTCTCATCTGTAAATGCTGTCTAAAGACAGCATTTACATAATCTAAAGACAGCATTTATAAATGAGAGATGGACAAAATGCTGTCTAAAGACAACATTTTGTCCATTTCTTTTGTTTCTAAGTGACGGTGGTGACTGCTTCACACAAAGGTTACTTGCATCAATATGTGATGTTCTCTATTAAAGACTCCTTAAACAATTTAACAACTGAAATCATCTAATCTTCAAAGTATATATTTTTTATATTATAATCACAGTAAAGTGCTAAGCCAATAAGGGCCTAACAGCACCATGGGAATGGTAAACAATAAGGTGTGATTTAAAGAAAGGAATGGCAGCTCCAATTCCTTGGATCAAGAGCCCTTCATCAGCCTCAAGGCATTCCCATGAAGGGTAACTTTTTATATAAACAAAGCTACCCCTACAAGAACAGTAAAGCTGCAAGAGGGTAGAGCAACAACTGAGTCTCCACCAGGTAGTAGGTCTATCCCATGCTCTGCATAGAGAGGACTGAGCCTCTATCAGGTCATAGGTCTATCTCATGCTCAGATGACTGAGCCTCCACCACTCACTGTGTTCGGTGATTCATCTGGGTTTAGTTCTTTATAGAAATATATACTGTACATCCAAGAGTGAACAGAGCATTAAGGAGAATACAATTTTGAAAAATAATGATGCATTTACTGTTCAAATACTGCCAAGTATAAACTTTTATTAGTACATATTAAAATACAGTGGACCCCCAGCTTACGATATTAATTCGTTCCAGGAGGCTGTTTGGGTGCCGTTACCGAATGAATTTGCTCCAATAAGGAATATTGTAAATTAGATTAGTCTGTTTCAGACCCCCAAAAATACACTTACAAAAGCACTTACAAAAATACACTTACATAATTGTTCGAGTTGGGAGCTGATTGTAAGTCGGGGGTCCACTGTATTTTGCTAGATAAGAACACTATAAAATCTTTAAAATTCAAATTTAAATTCCTTAAAATTTAGCCAGAGGTTTACAACTTTCCACAGTTCTTCTAGTACTTGCCCAGAATCAGAATTGAAATTTGTTAAGAACAAAATTCACAGTTGGTTGTAAAGTACAAACATTATACAAGGGCAGATACTGTAATAAATAATCTTTACAAGTTTACAAAAGAAAATATTTTCTATACTGCCAGCACAATTTGAAATCAAAATACTTACCCACACATCAAACTTTGCAAATGATGAATAATCAAAAATTGCCACACGTTCCCTACATGCTGCATACTCTTCTGCTACATAATTAAACCATGGTGGCTTTGTCCAAGTGTTGGTAAAAGCCATTTGAAATGGAGCAGAATTTTCAGTATCGCCTTCATAATCTGAAAGACAAATGTTGATCAGTTTCTTAAAACTGAATACCAAGATACCTATTTCAGGGAGGTGAAACCACCTGATGTAAACAATATGCATTTTACATTTTGTCACCATATTCTTTGGGTAGCACTAAACCCATCAAGGTCATACAGTGCCTGGGGAATCAGGCAATTAGATCTGAACCAAGGAAGGGAAATGCACTTATAATTCCGTGGATTAAATAATATTCAGAGAATATTCACTTGAAGCATTCAGCCAAATATCTGAATAGGAAAAACTACAATCCATGGCATAATATGGAAATATACTGGCATACAATAACATATTATATACAGTATAGTACAAATGTCCCTCACCTTATGTAAATTTGCTTTATGTGAATTCGCTATTATGAGATGTCCCATTTATGTCAGTAATGTCATATGTGTGACATACATCTACACATGTGATCTGTGGGGTTCACTAAACTTACTGAAAATTCTTATTATACGGAATTAAGTGTTAATGGCCTGACTGAGCTTAGAACACATACAATAAACATTTAAGTTAATGAACTGACAGGGTGAGCAGGTGGTTTGTAATGGCAATTGCAATGGATAGAGATGAGAAGTTATTTCCCTGTGATTTTAACAATAACTGATATTTCTATCAGCAATGAACTCAACCCACTGTTTGTCTGTTTCCCAAATAAGTGACACAGTGCATTCTGTCCTGTACTTCTACAAAAAAGCAAGAGACACCTGCATTCTGAAAATGCATGAGAAACCGTGCAAGAGTCTGCTTCATCATTACCCTGTTTTTCACTTTAACAGCTGGAGAGGAACTTGCAATAAGGAGATGGAAAAGTAAGAAAAAGCATGTATGAGTGAGAGAGTAACAGAAAGACCAAGAATATTATAGTGATAAAGTTAGAGCATGAGAGAGAGAGAGAGCAACTGAAAGTGAATAAATGAAAACAGGAGAGCAAGAGCAAATTAGAGAGAAAGAAGGAACAGAGAGAGAGAGAGAGAGAGAAGAAAGGGGAGAGAGAGAGAGAGAGAGAGAGAGAGAGAGAGAGAGAGATGGAGGGGGGGAGAGAGAGAGAGAGAGAGAGAGAGAGGAGGGAGAGAGGGAGAGAGAGAGAGAGAGAGAGAGAGAGAGAGAGAGAGAGAGAGAAGAGAGAGAGAGAGAGGGGAGAGAGAGAGAGAGAGAGAGAGAGAGAGAGCGGGGGAGAGAGGAGGAGAGAGAGACAGAGAGAGAGAGGACAGAGAGAGAGAGACAGAGAGAGAGAGACAGAGAGAGAGAGACAGAGAGAAGAGAGACAGAGAAAAGAGAGACAGAGAGAGAGAGACAGAGAGAGGGCAGAGAGACAAAAGACAGAGAGACAGAGACAGAGAGGGCAGAGACAGAGTACAGAGACAGACAGAGACAGAGAGACAGAGAGAACAGAGAGACGAAAAGACAGAGACGAGAGACAGAGACAAAAGAGAGAGAGACAGAGAGGAGAGACAGAGAGAGACAGAGAGACAGAGAGAGACGAGACGAGAAGACAGAGAGAGACAGAGAGAGACAGGGACAGAGAGAGACAGAGAACAGAGAGAGGAACAGCTGGAATTTGCTGGGCCTTCGACCGGTGTGGCACCAGAGGCCCCCTTAGCAAAACTTCAAGCCTGGGAATTGAGGCTCTACGCTTTTCTCCTCAGTGATTCCTTATGGTAGATCTCCCAAAGGGAGTCCTCAATGGAACGGAATCAGCAAAGGGATCCTATGGGGCAAGGTCCACAAGGAAACTGTGGTCCACTGTTAGGAATGTACTTCAACGCCTTCTTCATCTATCCCAGAAACACATGATATGCAGACGACTGTTTACACTGACATTCACTTTTCCAAAAGAGTAAGAAATGCCAGCTGCTCTAAGGTACATCATCACCGCTGGGGAGCTATATCATCTTGGGAAATAGATGGCAAGTAACATTTACACCTGAGAAAACGCAAATGATGATCGTCTCTAGGCACCATGTGGTAATGTGGGCAGTAGTAAGGATGAATGGGAGGTGTTGGTCCTGGAAAGAAAGTTTTATATCCTTGGGGTAAATCTGGGCTCCAAACTAACCATTTAAGAAACCCTGTTGTAAATCTTGCAAACAAATCAGTCAGGAAGCTTACAGCACTTCGCGTATCTCGCATTACTTGACAGTAGGGGTTGCAAGATTCTGTAGAGGCACAGTACGCTTACACTTTGAGTATGCTCCACTTTCTTGGTTGCCGCCCCCTCTATCTGCGACTGCTTGACAGAACAAGTAGAGAACAGAGCAAGACCGTCTCATCTCTCACTGGACCCATCCGAAGATCTGGGCATTTCAGCAGAGCCTTCAACATAGGAGGGATGTGGGTGGCCTTACTGTTTTTACAAGGCCAAAAATGTCAAAATAACACACTTGGATCACTTCGAGGACAGCGTGAAACAAGGCTTTTATGCCACAGATGGGCAAGAAAGCAGCAACTTCAACTCTGCTGTACCCTTCTCAGAAATCATCCATCGAGATATATATACCAGGATGACTCGAGTATGGAAACATTCGTACAGCAATATGTCAAAAAGATAAAGTCAGTTATCAAATGAAAATGCTGCCCCAGAGGCTCCCAATTTCATCCTGTTCCCTCCTGTATGTCCCAAAAACAATAAAAATGCTTTCAATTATTGAAGTAGGTAACAGTCTAGCTTGCCAATAAAGTTAGGATCCTTAACGAATAGCTTGGTCAATAAAGCTAAGGATCCTTACCTTGTCAACCCTGTGTAAAAAAAAAAAAAGAGAAAAAAGAGTGAGAGAAAGGAAAAAATAGGAAGAAAGGCCAATATTGTCAAAATACCACACTTGGATCCACTTCGAGGACGCGTGAAACAGTTTTATGCACAAGACGGGCAGAAAGCAGCAACTCACTTGGCTGTACCCTTCTCCAGAACATCACTCCATCTGAGATCATATACCCAGGATGACTGGATATGGAAACTTCGTACGAAAATGAGTCAACGAGAAAAGTCAGTTGATCAAATGAAAATGCGGCCCCAAGATGGCTCCAACTTCATCTGTTTCCTAAATTGTATGTCCATAAAAATAAAAATGCTTTCAAATGAGCTGATGTGGAACAGCTTAGTGGGCCCAAAAAAAGTTAGGAATCCTTAACTGAAAATATCTGTCAATAAAGCTAGGATCCTTAACCTTGTAAACCCGTGTAAAAAAAAAAAAAAAGGAGGAAAGAGAGAGAGAGAGAGAGAGAGAGAGAGAGGAGAGAGAGAGAGAGAGAGAGAGAGAGGAGAGAGAGAGAGAAGAGAGAGAGAGAGAGAGAGAGAGAGAGAAGGAGAGAGAGAGAGAAGGAGAGAGAGGGAGAAGGAGAGAGAGAGAGAAGGAGAGAGAGAGAGAAGGAGAGAGAGAGAGAAGGAGAGAGAGAGAGGAGAGAGAGAGAAGGGAGAGAGAGAGAAGAGAGAGAGAGAGAGAGGAGAAGAGAGAGAGAGAAGGAGAGGAGAGAGAGAGAGAGAGGAGAGGAGAGAGAGAGAGAGAGAGAAGGAGAGAGAGAGAGAAGGAGAGAGAGAGAGAAGGAGAGAGAGAGAGGAAGGAGAGAGAGAGAGAAGGAAGAGAGAGAGAGAGAGAGAGAGGAGAGAGAGGAAGAGAGAGAAGAGAGAGAGAGAGAGAGAGAGAGAGAGAGAGAGAGAGAGAGAGAGAGAGAGAGAGAGAGAGAGATAGAGAGAGAGAGAGAGGTAGGTTTGCCTGCCCCCCCCCACCTCTCATCTGCGACTGCTTGACAGAGTAGAGAACAGAGCAAGACGTCAATGAGATAAAGTCAGATCACATGAAAATGCTGGCCCACAGATGGCTCCAACTTCATCCTGTTCCCTACTTGTATGTCTCATAACAATAAAAATGCTTTCAAATGAGCTGATGTAGGTAACAGCTCTTAGCTTGCCAATAAAGTTAGGAATCCTTAACCTTTAAATAGCTTGTCAATAAAGCTAGGGATCCTTAACCTTGTCAAACCCTGTGTAAAAAAAAAAGGGAGAGAGAGAGAGAGAGAGAGAGGGGGGACGGGGGTATATTCAGGTTCTTACCTTTTGAATTTATATTTTCTTTTCGTTGAAAATAGCTGGGACGTTCATAGCCCATTACTTGACCAAAAACGGCTCCGTTAGCTTTAAGTTTAGGGAATATCGGAGACATTCGTAAACATCTTCCTGTTGTGAAGTCCGCAAATGGGTAAGCGATGCTATAGTGAATTCCTAAAGAAAATTCAAGTACATTAATATGTTTTGGAAGGATATTTTGTAGTTACAAAAGGAATTTATTATTTACTAGATAATGTTAATAATTAGTTACCTTTCCTTTAATAAGAGTACAATATTTTGTAGAAATGATGTTACATACCATTCATAATTTCTTATCATAGTTACACTGTACCACAATGTAAGACAAAAATTTGTCATTATCTCTAATATTCTTCACCTTATAGTATTATAGTATCTGCCACACTTTTTTTTTTTTTTACCACATCAGGCATTGCCCACTAAGCTAAGGTGATGAGCTCCATCATCATTAATTAAAAACTAGCCTCACTGAAGAATCACTTCATGAGTTAAGGTAGTTAATCATTTCCACTACCTAAGCAGTACTCAAATTTCTATGCAGCAGAGCACACATATGCTATTTGCAAGAGCTGTATTACATGAAATCCCCACACACTGCAAAACTGCAAAAAAGATATTATCATACTTGAATGGGAAATTAACCCTTTCAGGGTTTTTGACATACTAGTACATCTCTTACATGCCAGGGTTATTGACATACTAGTACGCATAAATTCTAGCGTCCTCAAATCAAGCAGGAAAAGGCTGGTAGTCCTAGATGTGAGAGAATGGGTCTCTGTGGTCAGTGTGTGCAGTACAAAAAAATCTGGGACCCAGAGGTGCATTGTGGGAAAGCCATTTTATTACACCTTGTTCACCATGTCTAGCGCTAAGAAACTCCTCACTCCTCGGCTAACTGGGGCTCTTTTGTTCCCAAGTGACAGTTCAGAGACAGATGGAAGTGTCAGTGAAGATGAATTTCATGGTTTTGAGGAGTTTGTGACCGAAAGCAATGCCCAGGAAACCTGAAGGAAGAAAGGAAGGAAGGTAGGAAGAAAGGGAGGAAGGAAGGAAGGTAGGAAGGAAGAAAGGAAGAGAAGAGAGGAAGGAAGGAAGGTAGGATGTAAGGAAGGAAGGAGACCATCAACCTAGGATAACGAAAAAATTCAGACAGTGACTTATTTCCATGTGGGTTGGTTGGGCGAGGAGGAAGTTGACAGGCAGTGAGGGTGGTGAGTGATGGTGTTATTTGTCATTGTGACACTAATTATGCCAGTGACTCAGCATATTTACAAGTACACCCCCACACAACAACTATAAGCTTACAGAAGCTGTAGCAGTTCTAAGAGGTGTCCAGTGACTTTATATGTGCACATATATGACAAAAAAATAGTAATAAACAAAATACAATATTTGTACGGTTACTGTGTAGCATACAACAAGTGAATTTACATACAATATACCTTATACTGGTGTCACAGGACATAAAATTTACTTGAAAGAAGAAAACAAGGAAAGAAGAAGTAAGAAAGGAAGGAAGGCGGGAAGGTGGGTAGGAAGGAAGGAGGGAAGGTAGGTAGAAAGAAAGGAAGGTAGGTAGGTAGGAAGGAAGGAAGGAGGAGAGGTGGGTAGGAAGGAAGGAGGGAAGGTAGGTAGGAAGGAAAAGATGAGAGGAAGGAAGGAGGGAAGGTAGGTAGGAAGAGATGAGAGGAAGGAGGGAGAGGTGAAGAGATGAGAGGAAGGAAGAAGGAAGGAGGTAGGGTAGGTAGGAAGAAAAGAAGGTAGGTAGGTAGGTAGGAAGGAAGGAGGGAAGGTAGGTAGGAAGAGATAGAGGAAGGAGGAGGAAGGGATGGAAGAAGGAAGGAGGTAGGAGTGGAGGAGGGAAAAAGGGAAGGTAGGTAGGAAGAGAGGAGAGGAAGAAGGGAAGGCAGGTAGGAAGGAAGGAAAGAAGGGAGCCAGGTTTGAGGGGAGGAAGGGATGTGTTGTGGAAGGCAGTGAGGGTTAGTGAGTGGTGGTATAATGCATAATTGTGACACAAGACACACCGGTGACTCAGCATATTTACAAGTCCATCCCCACACAACTACAGTGGCCCCTTGTTTATTGTCATTAATCCAGTCCTGGAACTGCGACGATTATCGAAATAGATGATTTTCGAATCAATTTTCCCCATAAGAAATATGTAAATACAATTAATCCGTCCTGACACCCAGAAGTATTACAAAATTTTTTTTACATGAAATATAGATGTAGTACATAAACAATACAATGAGACATGATGAATGAAACATTAACAGCATAACACTTACCTTTACTGGCGATTCTTCTTAGTGTATGGAAGACTGGAGGAGGCGACAGATTGGATTAGTTACTGTTTGGAAGGAGAATCCCCTTCCATCAACACCTTAGGTACCAAGTCCTTTTCTGGGGTTACTTCTCTTCTCTGTTTCTTAATGCCACTAGGACCAGCTTGAGAGTCACTGGAGTCCTGTCTTGCAAAAAAAGTGTCCAGAGAGCTCTGTTTCTGGTGTCTCTTTAAAACTTCCCTAAAATGGGCCAAGACTCCGTCACTGTACAAGTTGTTGATATGGCTTGCAACATTCTTCTCAGGGTGATGTTTCTCCAAAAATCTTTCCATCCTACCCCACATTTCAAAAACCTCCTTAATTTCTGAAGAAGGCACCTTCTTCCATCTCTCTTCCTCCTCTGCAGCAAGATTCTGAACTGCAATCTGTTGCTCTTCCTGCTGAAGCTCTTGCAGCTCCTCAGTGGTTAGCTCTTCATTGTGGTCCTCCACCAACTCTTCCACATCCTCCAAACTCACATCCAACCCCATGGAACTCTCCAGTGCCACAATAGAGTTAACAACTGACATAGGCTCATCAGGGTCAGCCACAAGCCCTTCAAAATCCCTCTTGTGGACACTATCTGGCCAAAATTTTCTCCAAGCAGAGTTCAAAGTCCTGGTAGTCACTCCCTGACAAGCCTTACCTATAAGGCTTATGCAATGGAGGATACTGAAGTGTTTTTTCCAAAACTCTCTTAGGGTCAAGTGAGTGTCTGAGGTCACATTAAAGCACCTTTGAAACATTGCTTTCGTGTACAGTTTTTTAAATTTTGAAATGACCTGCTAGTCCATGGGCTGGAGGAGAGGAGTGGTATTCGGGGGCAAGAACTTTACTGAGATGAACCCAAACTCCTTCAGAATTAGGTCATGCAAGTTTGGAGGATGAGCAGGTGCATTGTCCATTACTAGAAGGCACTTGAGATCCAATTTCTTTTCCAGGAGGTAATTCTTCACACTAGGGCCAAACACTTTATTGAACCACCTCGTGACCCATGCCTTATTATTAGATCTCCAAAACACAAACAATTTACTCTTCATAACATTGTTTTTCCTGAACACTCTGGGATTTTCAGAATGGTACACTAGTAACGGCTTCACTTTGAAATCCCCACTAGCATTAGCACAGAACATGAGCGTCAGCCTGTCTTTCATAGGCTTGTGTCCTGGTAGTCCCTTTTCCTCCTGAGTAATGTAGGTCCTCTTTGGCATTTCCTTCCAAAAGAGGCCTGTTTCTTCACAACTGAACACTTGCTCAAGTTTCAGTCCTTCAGCCTCTATGTACTCCTTGAATTCACTTACCAATTTTGTAGCTGCAATTTAGTCTGAACTGGCAGCCTCACCATACCTTATCACACTGTGTATGCCACTACGGTTCTTGAATCTCTCAAACCAACCTTTGTTGGCCTTAAATTCACAAATATCAGTACTCGTTGCAGGCAATTTCTTTACCAGATCGTCATGCAACTGCCTAGCCTTTTCACAAATAATCGATGTCATAATACACTCTCCTGCTAATTGTTTCTCATTTATCCACACCAATAATAGCTTCCCAACCTCTTCGAGTACTGATGATCTCATTTTTGTCAGCATATTTGCCCCCTTTGCAACAACAGCTGTCTTGATTTCCTTTTTCTTGGCCACGATGGAAGATATGGTTGTACGGGATTTGTTATACATCCTGGCCAGTTCGGCCACAGGTACGCCACTTTCATATTGTTCAATGGTGTTTTTTTCTTAAATTCAATCGTATTTCTCACCTTCTTTACCAAAGGCTTGGCACTAGGAGCTTTCTTTGGAGCCATGGTAGCTTATTTAGCACTTGCAAGCACTAAAATGAATGGAATATTATGAAATATTTAGTATGAACACATGAGGGGACCGTCACTCACTGGTAAACAATGGCACATTGGCTGGGAAGGGAGACCGAGGCGGCTCAGAGCCGTGAGTACACGTCCAGGATGAACGACGATTAGCGAGTCAACCGACCATTTGCGAGCCAATGTTTGGACTAAAATAACGCGACGATTTCTGAAAAGGACGACTATCGAGCCCAACTATTATAGAGGGACCACTGTACAAGCTTTCAGAACCTCTTGTAGTTCTAGGAACCTGTCCAGTGACTCTATATGTGTATATACAGTGGAACCTCTACTTGCGAGCACATCCACGTGTGAGTTTTTCCAAATACGAGTAGTCGATGGGTCAATTTTTTGCTTCCATATTTATTATTATTTTTTTATTATCACACTGGCCGATTCCCACCAAGGCAGGGTAGCCCGAAAAAGAAAAACTTTCACCATCATTCACTCCATCACTGTCTTGCCAGAAGGGTGCTTTACACTACAGTTTTTAAACTGCAGCATTAACACCCCTCCTTCAGAGTGCAGGCACTGTACTTCCCATCTCCAGGACTCAAGTCCGGCCTGCCGGTTTCCTTGAATCCCTTCATAAATGTTACTTTGCTCACACTCCAACAGCACGTCAAGTATTAAAAACCATTTGTCTCCATTCACTCCTATCAAACACGCTCACGCATGCCTGCTGGAAGTCCAAGCCCCTCGCACACAAAACCTCCTTTACCCCCTCCCTCCAACCTTTCCTAGGCCGACCCCTACCCCGCCTTCCTTCCACTACAGACTGATACACTGTTAAAGTCATTCTGTTTAGATCCATTCTCTCTACATGTCCGAACCACCTCAACAACCCTTCCTCAGCCCTCTGGGCAACAGTTTTGGTAATCCTGCACCTCCTCCTAACTTCCAAACTACGAATTCTCTGCATTATATTCACACCACACATTGCCCTCAGACACGACATCTCCACTGCCTCCAGCCTTCTCCTTGCTGCAACATTCAACACCCATGCTTCACACCCATATAAGAGCGTTGGTAAATAATACTCTCATACATTCCCCTCTTTGCCTCCAAGGACAAAGTTCTTTGTCTCCACAGACTCTTAAGTGCACCGCTCACCCTTTTCCCCTCATCAATTCTATGATTCACCTCATCTTTCATAGACCCATCCGCTGACACGTCCACTCCCAAATATCTGAATACATTCACCTCCTCCATACTCTCTCCCTCCAATCTGATATCCAATCTTTCATCACCTAATCTTTTTATCCTCATAACCTTACTCTTTCCTGTATTCACTTTTAAATTTCTTCTTTTACATACCCTACCAAATTCATCCACCAACTTCTGCAACTTCTCTTCAGAATCTCCCAAGAGCACAGTATCATCAGCAAAGAGCAACTGTGACAACTCCCACTTTATGTGTGATTCTTTATCTTTTAACTCCACGCCTCTTGCCAAGACCCTCGCATTTCTTCTCTTACTACCCCATCTATAAATATATTAAACAACCACAGTGACATCACACATCCCTGTCTAAGGCCTACTTTTACTGGAAAATAATCTCCCTCTTTCCTACATACTCTAACTTGAGCCTCACTATCCTCGTAAAAACTCTTCACTGCTTTCAGTAACCTACCTCCTATACCATACACCTGCAACATCTGCCACATTGCCCCCTATCCACCCTGTGTTATGCCTTTTCCAAATCCATAAATGCCACAAAAACCTCTTTAGCCTTATCTAAATACTGTTCACTTATATGTTTCACTGTAAACACCTGGTCCACACACCCCCTACCTTTCCTAAAGCCTCCTTGTTCATCTGCTATCCTATTCTCCATCTTACTCTTAATTCTTTCAATAATAACTCTACCATACACTTTACCAGGTATACTCAACAGACTTATCCCCCTATAATTTTTGTACTCTCTTTTGTCCCCTTTGCCTTTGACTCACGAAATCGTAATGACACGATTGCAAACAAACAATACCACGGGCGGGATTTGAACCTGCGGTCAGAGAGTCTCAAAACTCCAGACCATCGCATTAGCCAGGTCCAGTGGCTAGCTGTGTGCCTGTACCTAAATAAACTTATACACTGTGCTGGCATGCAGGTACACATGAAAATCACAAAGTGTCTTATGAGTCTCGAAGATGCCATATTAATAATGCTGATAATAATAATATGCAATAATAATCACTCTGAGGTGCATTAAGTGTCATATATTACGTTAATATAGGCATTTTCATTAATCTATTGATGACATTTTTTTCAAAAATATATAATAAACATGCTACATAACATACATGTATAAACATGATAAATATGTCCCACAGTAGAATAAATTAGCATAAATATGAGATGTTTATCCAGTCGTCTTGTCAGTGTCGGAAATAATAACGTTTTCTCTAGTTCAACACCAAAGAAAATGCGTACATAACAGTATTACTGGGGGTAACTATAGAAAATTATTCCTTTTGTATACTTTCACTCAGAGCATGATTCCTTCTAAAAATGGTGTGATACATGAGAATGGGAGAGTAGCTCTTTATTTATTCTACTGTACCAACATGGAGACAACTTGTATTATGGTATAAGCTTCACAAACATGGAAATGAACGTATACGAACCATATCGAGACGTGTTCATCTGCTTCTTTATATACACCGCATCTCTCTCCTCTCTCATTTACTCATTCTCTCTCTCTCTTGTTTATCTCACTTACTCACCTCTCACCCTACATTAAGACTACAAATATTTTAAGGTAAGTAATGAGTGTACTGTATATACATTTTATTGCTCTGGGGCACTTTAAATGTCATACAGGTCCGCGATCACAAATCTGGCAATCAGTCATCTGGTTTGATCAGTTATTAGGCACTAATTTTGGCTAGCATAATTTCAAATTTCCAGGATTGCCACACCAATCTGCTGGTACAGTTTGGTGGTGCTACATGCTGCGTAAGTCATTCCAATTTCTTTTTCTCCATTTATTGTGATAACCTGCTTACTTTTAGCCTCAGCCATGGTTCCAATGAATAAAAGAAATGCTTTTCTTTGTGTAAAGCACATACACAGTACATTGTTCATAAAAGATAAAGTGGCTTTGAAGCCACTGTTGGTTGCCATGAGCTCAGTCTTGTGATACAGGGGAATGTGCTTTATCATTAAGCTAATATCACCTCTATGGCTTATTTGCCTATCACAATTGATCTATGACATAATAAACAATATAAATAACATAAAAACATGTTAAATACTCCAGAATGAATAATATTTGGCATAATACTGAGCAGTTCGACATAGGTACGAAGAGGATATGGGATACAAGTACCATCCGTCTATCCCTGTCTTGGGGGTTTATAATAGAGAAAATGGAATGTAGCATAGGGCTGTGATATACATTCATAATGCACCATAAAACTGAAACAAAAAAACTATTTTCTCTACACAAATTATCATACATAGCAGCATATATTATTTGGAATTTATATGCATTTATAAGTGGAAACAATGGCATTCTGCTGTCCAGTGATGTCTGCTTTTTGGTGGTAGCCTGGAACCTAACCTGACGTATAAGTGGGGCCCTACTGTATATTTATAATTAGCACTGCAATATTGAATAGTTTTAGAAGATCTAGGGAATTACTATAATTATACTTATAGTTGAACAAAAATGTAAAAATAACATGCCAAAAATAAAAAAGACACTGATGCCAAACTCCTAGAGATCATGTTACCATATTCAAGTGGCATTCAAGACTGTGCCTCAGGCACCTGCTGGTGCCATAAAATAATTGTAAATTTTTTGAACTGTAAGAAGGACACAGAGCTGAATTATTAGGAGGGAGGAAGTGAAGGCATGGTTCACTCTCACAACAGTTATTGCAGTCGAGAGCACAGCTACAGAGGTAGGAGGAGATGTTCTCTGTAACTCACAACTGAGATAGAAGGGAGAAAAGGTAAAGAGAGAGGAAAGTATTAAAGAAAGGATATCAGATGAAAGAATGGAAGTTACAAATGAAGAAGCACATCAATGTCAGTTAAGAAATCAGAGAGAGAGAGGGTCTGCAGCAATGGCTATTGCAGAGAATAAAGCATCATGTGATTATAGTGATTTCTACAAACAGTAATAACCTAATTTTATTTTCTTTATTTTTGGACACTTGGAAATATGAAACTCACCAGGAACCTCTTGAACACGATCAATCAAAAATCTTCTGTTATTGTGAGCAGGGAGAAACCGCAGAATATCAAGGTCATATGCATCCATGGGTGGAGTTCCATTGACAATCCAGTCTGCAATCATGGAGCCAATGCCACCAGCTGCACTGCTGCCACCACTTCTCAGACCAGCAGCCACAAAGTAGTTTAGAAGCTGCAAATATACATAAATGCTCTTAATATTTCCAACATTGTGATTTAATATGGATAAGGCCATAAGAACTCAGTGGGTATTTCTCAAATTGTCATCACTGTCTCATTTTCAATATTCATGGATACTGGGTGGTATCAATTGTGTAAGAAAAATTATATTCATTTTAATGCATCAGTTTTAATACACCTGCAGTCTCCTACTGAGATAGGAATGACCCAAAAAGAAGAAAACACTTGCACCATTATTCATTCAATCACTTTCTTGTCAGAAGTATGATAACACAGGGGCCCTTCAAACTGCAACTTCCCTACCCCTTCTTCAGAATGCAGGCACTACTTCCCATCTCTAGGACTCAAGTCTGGCTAACCGGTTTCCAAGAATTCTTTCATAAATGTTACCTTGCTCACTCTCTAATAGCATGTCAACTCATAGAAACTTCTTGCTTCTGCTCTCTCCTATCTAACATGCTTGCACATGCCTGATGAACGTTCAAGCCCTTAGAATATTCTAGGAAAAAATGGGTAATATATATACAACGGAACCTCTACTTACAAGTTTAATCCGTTCCATGACTTTGCTCACATCTGGATTTGCTCATTTGCAGAGTCAATTTTCCTCATTTAAATTAATTGAAATGGAATTAATTCATTTCATTGGAATCCCAGGCACAAGAAAATACTTCAATAATTTCCCTAATATCAACTCTATGGCTTATTTATCCATCACAATTCATGTAATACGACATAATAAACAATATAGGATAACCCAAAAAAGTCAGACAGTGACTTACAAGTACATGTACTACACTCTTAATACTCCACTTAACTAGCTACACTCTTAATGCTACACTTAATTGCTACACTTTGTCACTGCTGCTTCATGTTGTCTGCTACTGTTACGCGCCCCTCCTTCACACTCCATTATATACAAAAATAAAAGGCCTGGTTAAAATAAGTGTAGTAATATATCGCAAACCACTTTATTACTAGCTAGATTAAACAGGTTCAACTATATATTATTATCGGGGTACGGTATAAATCATCAAAGGTACTCTCAAGCAAGGTTGTATTCAATAAGATGCTATTCGTTAGGCATTATTATAATATTATATTATATTGTATTATACATATTATTATTGTATTATAGTAGGTTGATTACTGTGTTTTGTTATCCAAGTGGGAACCACTACTTTAGAGACCGGTCGATGGTTCCAGAATTGGCACCTAGCGCTACCTCCTGATCGACCTGACGTCAGACCACTGAGCATTTGAACAGTCAGTCAGATCATAGCACTGACTCTGATCGGGTCTTCAACCCAGAGATCTTAACTTGGTCAATAATTCTAGATCGTGTCTATTGTCTTAACTTTGCTGTTAATTCCAAGAGTCTGATAACCCTTCAATTTAAGAAGGATAACTGATTTACTTCCTTAAAGTTCCCATAGTAGTTCTTATTTGGACTCTTCATTGTAATTATTGTATTATGCTTAATTCATAAAGATTTGAACGTAGAATTACGTTCCTCGTTGTACAGTCTCATTTCATTGATAATAGTGAATTGTCATTTTAATTCACTGACTGGATACCAATAAAGGTTCATAATTGGCAGTAAATAAAACTAACCAAAAAACAAAATTAAGTATTTATTCCCCTATTGTTGCAGCATAGAGCAAGCTGTAACAGCTACTGCTGCTTCATGTTGTTTGCCACTGCTGCTTAATGTTGTCTGCCACTGCTGCTTCATGTTGTCTGCCACTGCTACCTCATGTTGTCTGCCACTGCTGCTTCATGTTGTCTGCCACTGCTACCTCATGATGTCTCCCACTGCTGCTTCATGTTGTCTGCCACTGCTACCTCATGATGTCTCCTCCTACTTTTGCTAGCGTGTCGAAGAGCTTTCCAATATGTGAAGGTTGAGGGGCATGCCAATCGGACAGGTATTGGATGGTGACATCATTTGTTTACTCCTGAACATCACCAAAGACTTGAACATTTCTGCTACTTTGAGCTCAATTTCAAGGTACTCTTTGTCGTCAAAATCATATCTGTTTCTGTACTACATCTTCCATTCTATCAAATGAGACAAAAAAACGAGAATACAACCATAAAAACCATATGGAAATATACCACTAAGGGGAGACTAATGGCTGAGAAGTGAACTACATTATTTATGGTCAAATTTCTTTCATTTTTAGTGTACGCTAAGAAGCATCTTTCCATCATACACTGCCCAAGTTTCAATAAGATAGTCCAACAAACAACTGATATCCAATTCCTTAGATCAAGAGCAAGAGCCCCTCACCAGCATCAAGGAACCTCCCTTGAGGCCCACTCGCATCTGGAAATTTCACTCATGTCTGGAAGCAAAAAATCGACCGAGCAACTGCTCATATCTGGAAAAACTTGCACGTGGATGCACTCAAAAGTAGAGATTCCACTGTATATCTGGACTGACATGGGAAATTTCTTATTCAGGTACCTTTCATATGCTCATGATAAAAAATAATTTGGAGTATGGAGAAGGTAGACAGAATTAGTTCTGCACCAGAGAAGAAACTAGAACAGGAGGGTATGAACAGAACCAACTCCCCCCACAAGGCTAAAAGAATATAATTTTTTTAATGATACATGAAATAACCTATATAAAAAACATGGTGGAATCTGACTCCATACAAGGATTTAAAAGTAGATACAGTACTGTGTGACAAACTATTTCATGTCATACGGCATAAAATTAAACATTTTCTAACTCAAATTGATAATTGTAAATAGATAATTATGTGTTTAATTAGTACACAGATTGATCTAATTTTAATTTATGTTTAAATCACTGGCACAAATATTTTACAAATAATAATAAACAATATTAAGGTGATTAGTGTATCAAACGATTTAGATGAAGAAAAATTGGATATCACATTGGAGAGAGGGAGTATGGAAGAAGTAAATGTTTTCAGATATTTGGGAGTTCATTTGTCAGCAGATGGGGTTATGAAGGATGAGGTTAACCATAGAACTGATGAAAGAAAAAAGGTGAGTGGTGATTGAGTTATCTGTGGAGACAAAAAACGTTATCCATGGAGGCAAAGAAGGGAATGTATGCAAGTATAGTGGTACCAACACTCTTATAAGGGTGTCAAGCTTGGGTTGTAAATGCTGCAGTGAGAAGGTAGCTGGAGGCAGTGGAGATGTCCTGTCTAAGGGCAATGTGTGGTGTAAATATTATGCAGAGAATTCAGAGTGTGGAAATTAGGAGGTGTAGAGTTACTAAAAGTATAAGTCAGAGGGCTGAAGAGGGGTTGTTGAGGTGGTTCGGTCATTTAGAGAGAATGGAACAAAGTAGAATGACTTGGAGAGCATATAAATCTGTAGGGGAAGGAAGGTGGGGTAGGGGTCATCCTCGAAAAGGTTGGAGGGAGAGGGTAAATGAGGTTTTGTGGGCGAGGGGCTTGGACTTCCAGTAAGCATGCGTGACTTTGTTAGACAGGAGTGAATAGAGATGAATGTTTTTTTTGACCTGACGAGCTATTGGAGTGTGAAGGGACTCAGGAAAAACGGTTAGCCAGACTTGAGTCCTGGAAATGGGAAGTGCAATGCCTTCACTTTAAAGGAGGGGTCTGGGATATTGACTGTTTGGAGGGACATCTAAACTGTCATATCCGAGCGCCTCTGCAAAAACAGTGATTATGTATGAATGATGGTGAAAATGTTGAATGATGATGAAAGTATTTTTCTTTCTTTTTGAGATTTTCTTTCTTTTTGGGTCACCCTGCTTCAGTGGGAAATGGCCGATGTGTAAAAGAAAAAAAAAATAAACATGTCTTAAAGTTTGCAACAGCTGTCTATTTTTACCACATGTCAGCATCCCACTCCAGTTTCCAACCATCATAATTATTTAAAAAATATTACTGAATTCATGAAGGTCATTCAACAATGCTGTTTTCATAACAAAAACATTTGTGCTACTGACTTACCTCAGGTACCATTCCAACTATCCATCTGTGGTCCATAGAAAATGAACATGCAGTATTATAGAGACGACCAAGGACTGCATTCTTCATTACAGGTGCACGATGAAGCATCTGTTTCAGCAAGACATGGAAGTGGTCCCAGTCTTCAAGTAGATCTCGCTCATGCAAGCGACCTGCACCAGTGAAATAATGTGGTTAAAATATGTGATGACTAAGCATCATCTGCACCTAAAAAATTAACCATTTATTCTACAATATTATTACATGTATTATTTTACATTATTTTACATGTATTATTTTATTTAGAGTTGTACCAACACTTTCACATGGGTGTGAAGAATGGATTGTGAATGTTGCAACATTCACAACCATAGTATACAAATATAATTTCTTTTTTTTAACACATGGCCATTTCCCACCAAGGTAGGGTGACCCCAAAAAAAGAAAAAAACTGTCACCATCATTCATACACAATCACTGTCTTTGCAGAGGTGTTCAGATACGACAGTTTAGATGTCACTCCAAACAGTCAACATCCCAAACCCCTCCTGTAAAGTGCAGCCATTGTACTTCCCACTTCCAGGGCTCAAGTCCAGCTAACCAGTTTCCCTGAGTCCCTTCATAAAATATTACCCTGCTCATACTCCAACAGCTCGTCATGTCCCAAAAACCATTCGTTTCCATTCACTCCTATCTAACATAGTACTGTATATAAATGTCTATATAAACACCAAGTGTTTGCAGTGAAACACATTGGTGAACAGTACTTACATAAGGATAAAGAAGTTTTTGTGGCATTTATGGATTTGGAAAAGGCATATGATAAGGTGGATAGGGGGGCAATGTGGCAGATGCTACAAATGTATGGAATAGGAGGCAGGTTATTGAGAGTGGTGAAAAGTTTTTACGAGGATAGTGAGGCTCAGGTTAGAGTATGTAGGCAAGAGGGAGATTATTTCCCAGTAAAAGTAGGTCTTTGACAGGGATGTGTGATGTCACCATGGTTGTTCAATATATTTAGAGATGTAATAGTAAGAGAAGTGAATGCTCGGGTGTTGGCAAGAGGTGTGGGGTTAAAAGATAAAGAATCTAACACAAAGTGGGAGGTGTCACAGTTGCTCTTTGCTGATGACACTGCTTTTGGGAGATTCTGAAGAGAAGTTGCAGAGGTTGGTTGACGAGTTTGGTAGGGTATGTTAAAGAAGGATGTTAAAAGTGAATATAGGAAAGAGTAAGGTGATGAGGATAACAAAAACATTAGGTAACAGAAGATTGAATAACAGACTAGAGGGAGAGAGTATGGAGGAGGTGAATGTGTTCAGATATATGGGAGTGGACGTGTCAGCAGATGGGTCTATGACGGATGAGGTGAATCATAGAATTGATGAGGGGAAAAAGATGAGTGGTGCACTGAGGAGTCTGTGGAGACAAAGACCTTTATCCATGAAAGCAAGGAGGGGAATGTATGAGAGTATACTTTTACCAATGCTCTTGTATGGGTGTGAGGCATGGGTTGTGAATATTGCAACAAGGAGAACGATGGAGGCAGTGGAGATATCATGTCTGAGGGCAATGTGTGGTGTGAATATAATGCAGAGAATCCGCAGTTTGGAGATTAGAAGGTGTGGGATTACCAAAACTATTATCCAGAGGGATGAGGAGGGGTTACTGAGATGGTTTGGATATGTAGAGAGGATGGAACAAAATAGAATGACTTTGAGAGTATACAAATCTTTAGTGGAGGGAAGGCGGGATAGGGGTCAGCCTAGGAAAGGTTAGAGGGAGGGGGTAAAGGAGGTTTTGTTTGCGAGGGACTTGGACTTCCAGCAAGTGTGCGTGAGTATGTTAGACAGGAGCGAATGGAGACAAATGGTTTTTAGGACTTGACTTGATGTGCTGTTGGAGTGCAAACAAGGTAACATTTAAGAAGGGATTCAGGGAAACCGGCAGGCCGGACTTGATTCCTGGAGATGGGAAATTCAGTGCCTGCGCTCAGAAGGAGGGTTGTTAACCCTTTGACTGTTTTGGTCATACATATACGTCTTACGAGGTACAGTGTTTGACGTATATATACTCATAAATTCAAGCGGCTTCAAATCAAGCAGGAGAAAACTGGTAGGCCCACATGTGAGAGAATAGGTCTGTGGTCAGTGTGCACCTTATAAAAAAAATCCTGGAGTATGCAGTGTATAATGAGAAAAAAAACTCCGACCGTTTTTTTAATTAAAATGCCGACTTTGTGGTCTATTTTCGTATAGTATTTATAGTTCTATTCTCGATTTTTTTTGTCTCATTTGATAGAATGGAAAACATATTATAGAAATAGAGGTGATTTTGATTGGTTTTACTATAAAAAGAATCTGGAAATGGAGCTCAAAATAAGGGAAATCTTCGATTTTTGCGATGTTCAAAAGTAAACAAATGATATCATTGTCCAATAAATGTCCAACTAGCCATTCTAATATGCAGTCATGAATGGGCTGACATTATTTGTGCAATTATTACACTATTGTAGTAGTCCTGCATAACAGTAAATCTTCTACTTTTTGTTTAAATAAAAATTCAAAATAGAAAGCAAGAGTAATATCAGAGGAGCCTGGAAACATGACTGATGAACAAAGAAAATGTTATTTTAGAGCCAGGAATGTCTGCATTGTTCATTTTGGTCCCTATTTTGAAATTGTCATATTTTTTAATTTTCATGAAATTGGCCAAATTGCAAATTTCTGACCACGTTATTGGGTTGCTGAAATTGGTAAATGGGCAGTTTCTTGTACTCATTCTATAGAAAAAGTGGAGTTCTAAAGAAATAGCTATGAGTTTAGTTGACTGGACCAATGGAATTAGCCGAAAATAGGGCTCAAAGTGGGCGAAATCACCGATTTGTAAATGTTGCCGAGGTCACTAACTTTGTGAGGGCGTAATTCCATCAGTTTTCCATCAAATTTCGATTTTTTGGTGTCATTACAATCGGGAAAAGATTCTCTATCATTTCCTAAGAAAAAATAATTTTTTTTTTTTTTAAATTTTGCGACACCAGGAGACCTCAGGATTGGGGGTTGTGACAGTCAAGGGGTTAATGTTGCAGTTTTATAAATGTAGTGTAGGCATGCCTCTGGCAAGACAGTGATGGAGTGAATGATGATGAAAGTTTTCCTTTTTCGGGCCACCCTGCCTTGGTGGGAAATGGCCGATGTGTTAATAATAATAAGAATATGAGAAATGAATACCTACAAGAGAAAGTATCATAGACTGTAGCCAAAGAGATACTGGTATACAGAATATGGTGAGGGAATGAAATTTGTATAAGCAATTACAGTAAACAGAAGTCTGAAGATACAGTTTACAAAGCAGTAATGTGAAAGAAATTCTTCATTGATTCTATTAATTTACAGTACATATATTACAAACTATAACTGCTACATAGCAGTTGTAGTATTACCTGGAAGATCCCCACGCTCAAAGGATGGCTTGGCCCATTTTTCAAATCCGCCGCAAAGAAAACCTCCGTTGAACTCTCTCATGTAGATATTTGCATCGGGGTCTCTTATAGCTGTTAAGAAATTGTATGCACAAATAACCAACCAAGGAATTGTAGAAATGTCAGAATAGTAAAATAATGAAAAACATTAGCTACTCTGATGCAATAAGATTACAGTAAACAGGTTATATAACAATATATAAAATTAACAGTGAAAAAAAAAAAATCCAAGCACTTTCGTGATTTCTCACGTTATCAAGAAATAGTAAAATAGTCTTCTGTTGTCCATTATTTTTACTATTCCCTGATAATGTGAGATATCACAAAAGTGCTTGAAATTTCACTATTTTCTCCTTTGCTACTTCATTTAACTAAACAAACTGAACTATTTGCTACTTCATTTAACTAAACAAAATATGTGGAAAAACAAAAATACATTGGGTGCTTGAGCAATGGTAAATAAGAGCTGAGTGCTTTTATGAAGGTGGCATTGTATGCTGAAGTTACTGGGTAAAAAAAAATATATGCCAGGCTGGGTAATGTCCATTATTGTTCAAATGTTGTCGGTGGTGGTGGTAATAGTAGAAGTAATAGTGGCGGCGGTGGTGGTGGTGGTAGTGCTAGTATCAGTGTTGGTAGTGGTAGCAGTAGTAGTAACAGTAGTAGTTTGGGAAGGAAATCTGCTGGTGTCATGAAAGTCCTGGTTAGAAAGAACTAGATATGAATAAGTACAGCTTAAGAGTTAGATACACATGGTAATTCTTCCAATATTAATATGGTATATAGGTGAGAGACAATGATTATGTTGGAGTGAAAAAAATTGAGTAGAGTAGTGGGAATAAACAATTGGAGTGAGTACATGTAGTAGAAATAATAAAGAATTACAATATGCATAAAAATGATGCACAAATGGCTTTAACAAATAAGATTTAGAAGTGTGTGCTGTTGTGGCATTGACATAATTACAGTGATGATGACAAAGTAATGAAAAATGTTTATGAGAATAAACTGAAGGTAGAAGGGCTTGGAAAAGTCTAAGAAAATGAGCAGATATGATAAGCGAGTAAGAATAGAAACAGTAGCCTCTATGTGATCAATGTATGAGAATAACTAAAAGGAGGCAGCTTATTAAAGGGGATTAAAAACTGACAATCTGAGAATTTATACAGTGAATTTATATCTAGTGTATGATATGGCTGAGTTACTACTGTGACTATTTACTTGAGTAGTGAGCATGCATGATCCAGGCAACACTGAATATCTTCAACACAGTGCCTTCTACCACTCCACATTAAAAAAGTGAGAAATAGTATTGTTAATGATACACACAAACATACCAGTCAATGTGGAATTATAATAAATTATTATGGCAAATGATGCTGCAGTTCAGAGGGTCATCTGAATTTTAATGTCTGTGCACTCTTGGAAAGAGAGCATTTGAATTAATGATGAGATTGGCAGACAGCATGCATAGTTCCTTTGTATAAAGGCAAAGGGGACAAAAGAGAATGCAAAAATTATAGGGGAATAAGTCTGTTAAGTCTACCTGGTAAAGTGTATGGTAGAGTTATTACTGAAAGAATTAAGATTAAGACAGAGAGTAGGATAGTAGATGAACAAGGAGGCTTTAGGGAGGGTAGAGGGTGTGTAGACCAAGTGTTTACAGTGAAACATATAGGTAAACAGTATTTGGATAAGGGTAAAGAGGCTTCTGTGGCATTTATGGATTTGGAAAAGGTATATGACAGGGAAAGGGGACAAAAGAGATTGTAAAAATTATAGAGGAATAAGTTTACTGAGTATACCAGGAAAAGTATACAGTGGGGTTATAATAGAAAGAATTAGAGGTAAGACAGAATGTAGGATTGTGGATGAGCAGGGAGGTTTCAGAGTGGGTAGGGGATGTGCAGATCAAGTGTTTACATTGAAGCATATATGTGAACAGTATTTAGATAAAGGTAGGGAAGTTTTTATTGCATTTATGGATTTAGAAAAGGCATATGATAGAGTGGATAGAGGAGCAATGTGGCAGATGATGCAAGTATATGGAATAGGTGGTAAGTTATTAAATGCTGTAAAGAGTTTTTATGAGGATAGTGAGGCTCAGGTTAGGGTGTGTAGAAGAGAGGGGACTACTTCCCAGTAAAAGTAGGTCTTAGACAGGGATGTGTAATGTCACCATGGTTGTTTAATATATTTATAGATGGGGTTGTAAAAGAAGTAAATGCTAGGGTGTTCGGGAGAGGGGTGGGATTAAATTATGGGGAATCAAATTCAAAATGGGAATTGACACAGTTACTTTTTGCTGATGATACTGTGCTTATGGGAGATTTTAAAGAAAAATTGCAAAGGTTAGTGGATGAGTTTGGGAATGTGTGTAAAGGTAGAAAGTTGAAAGTGAACATAGAAAAGAGTAAGGTGATGAGGGTATCAAATGATTTAGATAAAGAAAAATTGGATATCAAATTGGGGAGGAGGAATATGGAAGAAGTGAATGTTTTCAGATACTTGGGAGTTGACGTGTCGGCGGATGGATTTATGAAGGATGAGGTTAATCATAGAATTGATGAGGGAAAAAAGGTGAGTGGTGCGTTGAGGTATATGTGGAGTCAAAAAACGTTATCTATGGAGGCAAAGAAGGGAATATATGAAAGTATAGTAGTACCAACACTCTTAAATGGATGTGAAGCTTGGGTGGTAAATGCAGCAGGAGGAGACGGTTGGAGGCAGTGGAGATGTCCTGTCTAAGGGCAATGTGTGGTGTAATATTATGCAGAAAATTCGGAGTGTGGAAATTAGGAAAAGGTGTGGAGTTAATAAAGCATTAGTCAGAGGGCAGAAGAGGGGTTGTTGAGGTGGTTTGGTCATTTAGAGAGAATGGATCAAAGTAGAATGACATGGAAAGCATATAAATCTATAGGGGAAGGAAGGAGGGGTAGGGGTCGTCCTCGAAAGGGTTGGAGAGAGGGGGTAAAGGAGGTTTTGTGGGCGAGGGGCTTGGACTTCCAGCAAGCATGAATGAGCGTGTTAGATAGGAGTGAATGGAGACGAATGGTACTTGGGACCTGACGATCTGTTGGAGTGTGAGCAGGGTAATATTTAGTGAAGGGAATTCAGGGAAACCGGTTATTTTCATATAGTCGGACTTGAGTCTTGGAAATGGGAAGTACAATGCCTGCACTTTAAAGGAGGGGTTTGGGATATTGGCAGTTTGGAGGGATATGTTGTGTATCTTTATATGTATATGCTTCTAAACTGTTGTATTCTGAGCACCTCTGCAAAAACAGTGATAATGTGTGAGTGTGGTGAAAGTGTTGAATGATGATGAAAGTATTTCCTTTTTGGGGATTTTCTTTCTTTTTTGGGTCACCCTGCCTCGGTGGGAGACGGCCGACTTGTTGAAGAAAAAAAAAATATGACAGGGTGGATAGGGGGGCAATGTGGCAGATGTTGCAAATGTATGGAAAAGGAGGTAGGTTACTGAAAGTGGTGAAAAGTTTTTACAAGGATAGTGAGGCTCAGGTTAGAGTATGTAGTAGAGAGGGAGATTATTTCCCAGTAAAAGTAGGCCTTAGACAAGAATGTGTGATGTCACCATGGTTGTTTAATATGTTTATAAACGGGGTTGTATAGGTAGAAGGGTGGTAGACAGCAACGCCCAGGGAGGTACTACCGTCCTGCCAAGTGAGTGTAAAACGAAAAGGCTGTAATTGTTTTACATGATGGTAGGATTTCTGGTGTCCTTTTTTCTGTCTCATGAACATGCAAGATTTCAGGTACGTCTTGCTACTTCTACGTACATTTAATTCACACTACAGATACATGTACAAGCATATATATACACACACCCCTCTGGGTTTTCTGCTTTTTCTTTCTAGTTCTTGTTCTTGTTTATTTCCTCTTATCTCCATGAGGAAGTGGAACAGAATTCTTCCTCCGTAAGCCATGCGTGTTGTAAGAGGCGACTAAAATGCCAGGAGCAAGGGGCTAGAAACCCATTCTCCTGTATAAATTACTAAATTTGAAAAGAGAAACTTTTGTTTTTCTTTTTGGGCCACCCTGCCTTGGTGGGATACGGCCGGTTTGTTGAAAGAAAGAAAGAAAGAAACAGGGTTGTAAGAGACGTGAATACTCGGATGTTGGCAAGAGGTGTGGGTTACAAGATAAAGAATCTCACACAAAGTGGAATATGGCATCGTTGCTCTTTGCAGATGACACTGTGCTTTTGGGAGATTCTAAGGAGAAGTTGCAGAGGTTGGTGAACAAGTTTTGGAGGGTATGTAAAAGAAGAAAATTATAAGTGAATATAGGAAAGAATAAGGTGATGAAGATAACAAAAAAATTAGGTAGCAAAAGATTGGATATCAGATTGGAGGGAGAGAGTATGGAGGAGGTGAATGTATTCAGATATTTAGAAGGGAACATATCAGCAGATAGGTCTATGAAAAATGAGGTGAATCATAGAATTTAAGAGGGTAAAAAGGTGAGTGGTGCACCGAGAAGTCTGTGGAGACAAAGAACTTTGTCCATGGAAGCACTTCTTCCAAAGAGGGTAATGTATGACAGTATAGTTATATCAATGCTCTTATATGGTTGTGAAGCATGGATAGCGAATGTTGCAACAAGGAGAAGGCTGGAAGCAGTGGAGATGTCGTGTCTGAGGGCAACGTATGATGTGAATATAATACAGAGAATTCGTAGTTTGGAAATAAGGAGGTGCAGGATTACCAACACTATTATCCAGAGGGCCGAGGAAGGGTTGTTGAAGTGGTTTGCATATGTAGAGAGGATGGAACAAAATAGAATAGAATGGCTTTGAGAGTGTATAAATCTGTAGTAGAGTGAAGGCGGGGGTAGAGGTCAGCCTAAGAAAGGTTGGAGGGAGGGGGGTAAAGGAGGTTTTGTGTGCGAGGCTCTTGGACTTCCAGCAAGCATGCCTGAGTGTGTTAGATAGGAGCGAATGGAGACAAGTGGTTTTTAGGACTTGACGTGCTGTTGGAGTGTGAGCAGGGCAATATTTACAAAGGGATTCAGGGAAACCAGCATGCAGTGCCTGTACTCTGAAGGAGGGGTGTTAATGTTGCAGTTTTCATAACTGTACTGTAAGCACACCTCTGGCAAGACAGTGATGGAGTGAATGATGGTGAAAGTTTTTCTTGTTTGGGCCACTCTACCTTGGTGGGAAATGGCTGATGTGTTAATAATAATAATAGAATATATTTCCTTCTTTTGATCATGGAATCATGATAAGAGGGCAGTGAGACTGGTAAGGATATGCTAATGAGTCAAGTTACAAGCTATGTCTCAGTGTGTGCAAAAATAATGTGTGCATGAGGGAGACAAGTGGTCTATACTGTCACTGATCCAGTCCCTTTCACATGGAAGAGACTGTACGAACAATACAATGATTTACATGTATAAATGACAGAGGCATTCAATATGTATTGAAACAGCTTAGAAAATGTAGATACAAGCAAACTACTAATTGGGCAAGCCAGAAATTTTGGAAGACAAAAGTCACTGATTTTGTTTTTTGTTAACACATCGGCCATCTCCCACTGAGGCAAGGTGACCCAAAAAAGACAAAAAACTTTCACCATCATCACACAATATCACTGTCTTTGCAGAGGCACTCAGATATAACAGTTCAGAGGTCACTCCAAACAACCAATATCCCAAACCCTTTATTTAAAGTGCAGGCACTGTAATTCCCACCTCCAGGACTCAAGTCAGGCTAACCAGTCCCCCTGAATCCCTTCACAAAATACATGTATTACTCTGCTCACACTCCAACAGTTCGTCAAGTCCCAAAAACCATTCATCTCCATTCACTCCTAACACACTTGCACATGCCTGCCACATGTCCAAGCCCCTTGCACACAAAACTTCTTTTACCCCCTTCCTCCATCCTTTCCTAGGACAATCCCTACCCCTCCTCTCCTCCACTACAGATTTATACACCCTCCAAGTCAACCTATTTTGCTTTCTCCTCTCTAAATGACCAAACCACCTCATTAACCCCTCTTTAGTCCTCTGAATAATACTTATAGTAACTCCACACCTCCTCCTAATATTGTTTATAATTTGGTAACTCAATAAATATAAAAATGCCTGGTAGGCAACACTCTCGTGTCACACAATGAGTGTCTGTGGCTCGATCCCTGGAAAGGGTGGAAACATTGGGCAAGTTTCCTTACACCTGCTGTCCTGTTCACCTAGCAAGCAAATAGGTACCTGGGTGTTAGTTGAATGGTGTGGGTCGCATCCTGAGGGACAAGATTTAAGGACTTCATTGGAAATAAGATAGGCAGTTCCTCAATTATGCACTAACTTTCTTGGGTTATCCTGGGTGACTAACCCTCCGGGGTTAAAAATACTAACAAAATCTTATCTTTTATCTTAACAAACATCTGTACAGAATAAAAAATTAAGTTTGCACTATATCAGTTTATTATAAAATACATAGGATACTAGTGTCCATACCTGGCATCATAGGATTCATTCCTTCAAGTGGTTGGGTATAGAGGAAATAATGTTCAGCTGGATGTACTGGCACTTTAACGCGAGGTTCTGACATTTGGCCAATTTTTCTTGCCCACATACCACCAGTGTTAACAACAAAGTCACATTCTATCATTCCTTTGCTGGTTTCAACAGCGACTACACGTTGATCATGCACTACAACACGTGATAGCTGGCACTCTTCCACGACGTGTGAACCTGTTGGTGATGCAATACTTAAAACTTTACTTTATACTAATGATAAATGTGTGTGCATTCAGATGTTTTACACATATTTTTAATAAAAGCAGACAAAATATTTTGGATATTACCATTACAGATGCCTACAGCTGTCCATATAAGCAGACAGAGTAACATATACACACTGTACACAAAACTTCCTCAGACACAGATGCAAGGACTTTTCTAAAACTAGTTTGGAAAACAAAGAATGCAGAGGTTTAGAAGTGACAAAATGTTTAAGTGTAACAGACCAACGTGATCATCTAAGCCAAAATGAGGTAGTCATATACAGTGGAACCTTTTTAGAGAACATTTTGTGAAGGGATTTGGGGAAACTAGTTAGCTGATTTGAGTCCTAGAGGTGGGAAATACAATGCCTGCACTTTAACCCGTAAACGGTCCAAACGTATATACTATACATTTTTTCAACATTTGAAAGTTGTTGCGAATAAGAAATTTTATAAAGAACTTCAGGATGTGGTCTGTTACTATTTTCTTCATAGGCAACAAGATTTGGGATCAGAGATACTTAAAGGTATTTTAGAGTCTAGGGGAAATAATTTCAACTGGGAAACTCCATAGAATAACATTCAAATTTATTATTTAAATACAATACTTTATCTTCTCTCTGTAGTTAATGTAACTTAATACTTTGTACAATAAATTTACAATATACATTTAGTTCAAAATTATGGAAATATTACATTAATAGGGAAGATTAATTATTCTTCCAGTAATTAAGTCTTCACTAACATTTACGTCTTTGTCTTAACAAGACTGTGTAAATTCAAACTACAAAATGTACAAGATTCAACAAGACCTTTGAATCCAGCCGTAAAGTAAGTAGAAAGCAAGAGTTTGTCTGAGAAGACGTATCACTATGGATTACTGAACTGACCAAGAATATAAATATCAAAAGAATCTTTCAGAGCAATGAGGAACAAACTGAGTCAGCTCTAGAGTCTAATTCTCAAACCCATTTAAACTGTACACCCTAAGAGAGAACCAATATACGATCAGTTGTCAAGGCTAGAGCAGGGAGCGGACTGACTACCTGCCAGTCTGTTGACCCGTCGTCAGGTTGGATCACCTGACCCAAACGTCAGTCAGCCGGACATAAACAATTGAACAATTCACCGGATGGTTCTGAGACTTATGCTCTATATACATAAGAAATCCTACCTAACAATAATAATAATAAAATAGGGACAATACCATGGTATTTTTTATATATTTTAACAGATAATAATATAACGCCAAAAGTCTCTATTTTAGCTATAAACGGGGACTTTCGCGCTATAATATTAAGTGATGAACATATTCTCTTACAATAGTTAAATAACACAGGATGACCAATTTCCAAGATATAACAAAAGTACATGTATGTAAAAAAGTAGATCTTCTTTTTGTTTTTTTACATTTGAAAATGTGTAAAAAACTTGATCTACTTTTTTTTTTTTGTTATATTTGAAAATATGTAAAAAAAATGTAGATCTACTTTTGTAGCACTACACATGTGAATGTAGATCTGCTTGGACCGTTTACGGGTTAAAGGAGGGGTTTGGAATACTGGTTGCTTGGAGTGACATCTAAACTGTCGTATCTGAGCTCCTCTGTAAAGACAGTACTCACCTAATTGTGGTTGCAGGGGTCGAGACTCAGCTCCTGGCCCCGCCTCTTCACTGATCGCTACTGGGTCCTCTCTCTCTCTGCTTCCTGAGCTTCGTCATACCTCTTCTTAAAACTATGTATGGTTCCTGCCTCCACTACTTCACTTGCTAGGCTATTCCACTTGCTGACAACTCTATGACTGAAGAAATACTTCCTAACGTCCCTGTGACTCGTCTGAGTCTTCAGCTTCCAGTTGTGACCCCTTGTCCCTGTGTCCCCTCTCTGGAACATCCTATCTCTGTCCACCTTGTCTATTCCCCGCAGTATCTTGTATGTCGTTATCATGTCTCCCCTGACCCTTGTCCTCCAGTGTCGTCAGTCCGATTTCCCTTAACCTTTCCTCGTACGACATTCCCTTGAGCTCTGGGACTAGCCTTGTTGCAAACCTTTGTACTTTCTCTAACTTCTTGACGTGCTTGACCCGGTGTGGGTTCCAGACTGGTGCTGCATACTCCAGTATGGGCCTAACATACACAGTGTACAGTGTCTTGAACGATTCCTTATTAAGGTATCGGAACGCTATTCTCAGGTTTGCCAGGCGCCCGTATGCTGCAGCGGTTATTTGGTTGATGTGTGCCTCCGGTGATGTGCTCGGTGTTATGGTCACCCCAAGGTCTTTCTCCCTGAGTGAGGTCTGTAGTCTTTGTCCACCTAGCCTATACTCTGTCTAGGGTCTTCTTTGCCCCTCCCCAATCTTCATGACTTTGCATTTGGCTGGATTGAATTCGAGAAGCCAGTTACTGGACCACATGTCCAGCCTGTCCAGGTCTCTTTGCAGTCCTGCCTCATCCTCGTCCGATTTAATTCTTCTCAACAACTTCACGTCATCTGCGAACAGGGACACTTCAGAGTCTATTCCTTCCATCATGTCGTTCACATATATCAAAAATAGCACTGGTCCTAGAACTGACCCCTGTGGGACCCCGCTCATAACAGGCGCCCACTGTGATACCTCTTCACGTACCATGACTCGTTGCTGCCTCCCTGTCAGGTATTCCCTTATCCATTGCAGTGCCCTCCCTTTTACATGCGCCTGATCCTCCAGCTTCTGCACTAATCTCTTGTGGGGAACTGTGTCAAAGGCCTTCCTGCAGTCTAGGAAAACGCAATCTACCCACCCCTTTCTCTCGTGTCTTACTTCTGTTACTTGTCATAAAACTCCAGGAGGTTTGTGATACAAGATTTGCCTTCCATGAACCCATGCTGGTTTTCATTTATAATCTTGTTCCTTTCCAGGTGTTCGACCACTCTCCTCCTGATAATCTTCTCCATGACTTTGCACACAATACATGTCAGAGACACAGGTCTGTAGTTTAGTGCCTCGTTTCTGTTTCCTTTCTTAAATATGGGGACTACATTAGCTGTCTTCCATTTCTCAGGTAGTTGCCCAGTTTCAAGGGATGTGTTGAAGATTGTGGTTAGAGGCACGCACAGCATCTCTGCTCCTTCTCTAAGGACCCATGGGGAGATGTTGTCTGGTCCCATCGCCTTTGAGGTGTCAAGGTCACTTAAGAGCTTCTTCACCTCCTCCTCAGTTGTTCGTATGTCATCCAACACTTGTTGGTATATTCCCTCTTGATGTTCCCTTCTGTGCTGTCTTCCCACAGCCCTTCCTGTCTCTACTGTAAAAACTTCCTTAAATCTCCTGTTCAGCTCCTCACATACCTCCTGATCATTTCTTGTGAGTTCTCCACCTTCTGTCCTTAATCTGATCACCTGGTCTTTGACTGTTGTCTTCCTCCTGATGTGGCTATACAACAGTTTCGGGTCAGTCTTGATTCTCGATGCTATGTCATTTTCATACTGTCGTTGGGCCTCCCTCCTTACCTGTGCATACTCATTCCTGGCTCTGCGACTGATCTCCCTATTTTTGTGTGTTCTCTTCCTTCTGTACTTTTTCCATTCTCTATTGCATTTTGTTTTTGCCTCCTTACACCGTCGGGTAAACCAGGGGCTCGTTCTGGTCTTCCCGTTGTTACTGTTGCCCTTGGGAATAAACCTTTCCACTGCCTCCTTGCATTTTGTTGTTACATATTCCATCATTCCATCAAGTGCCCAACGTATCAGTTTTCCGAGTTACAAGCCGTCGGTCGGTCAATTTTTTTATTTGAGTTGCAAACCAAAATCCGAGTTACAAGCAAAAAAAAAAATATTTACTGAAAAAAAAAAATATTTACTGAAAATGACATTTAGCAAGAACCCCGGCCTAAATGGCACAAGAAAAGGTGATTCTGGGACTTGGTACTTATAAAACAATGCTAGTGCGATGTTCTCACTTTAGGTAATCGTGTAATTATCTTTAGTTATTCAACAAAAAAATAAAGTTGCTAAGTTTTTGACATTTGCAAAATATCTTGTCCTTTACTCCCACATAAATCCCAAAATATTTGGAACATTTCCAATATTCCACAAGCCAAGTGTAGAACAATAATTCCTTTAATGATTCCTGTCAATATTATTTTATTTACTTAAATAATAAATGGTGGGCTTCATGAAATAAGCCAATAACTTACTTCCAAGATATTCATATATGACTGCACCAGAGATCTAGTGCAGTTAGCCTCTCAAAAACTCCATTTTCTCTTACCCAGGGCCAAAGAACACATTATAGGAATGAGCAGTAATGATTTTATATGCTCAGACAAGTCCTGGACACTCGCCATATTATGGCCTATTTTATTGATTCAAGGGTATACAGTGGTACTTCAGATACAAACAGCTCAAAACTTGAACAATTATGTAAGTGTATTTATGTAAGTGCTTTTTTAAGTGTATTTTTTGGGGGTCTGAAACGGATCAATCTATACTTTACATTTATCTATAATTTACATTATTCCTTATGGAAACAAATTCGTTCAGTATCGGCACTCGAACAGCCTTCTGGAACTAAATAAATTTGTACCCCTAGGTACCACTGTACAGTATATCATGTTTCTATGTTGCTTGTAGTGTTTATTATGTTATATTAGATCAATTCTGATAGATAAATAAGCCGTGAAGTTGATATTAGCGTTGTATTGAAGTATTTTCTCCTGTTCCTGGGGTGGTTTTCTGGGGGCTGGAACAGATTAATGGCATTTCAATTAATTTCAATGAGGAAAATTTATTTGATATATGAGCAAAGTGAGTTACAAGCTCGGTCGCAGAATGAATTAAACTCGTAAGTCAAAGGTACCACTGTACTGAATGATGGTGAAAGTGTTTCTTTCTTTTTTGGGTCACCTTGCCTTGGTGGGAAGCGGCTGATGTATTTAAAAAAAATATAGGACAATTCAACTACAGTATTAAGGTTAGGAGACCTGGGA